AAATTATTCAAGCAAATCCTCCAGCACCACAGTAAGATTTGTAATCAGAATCAGAGAAAACAGCAACATGGAAAGTAAATTCAGTACAGTTAGGCTCAACCACCTAAGTATTAAGCTTTGAACATCAACAAAACTCACTACTTGGGAATTACAACTCACAAATTTTCAGCCTACAATGGCAATAAAAGGCTATTTTATCTTATTTACATTAATACTTAATTTTCTTTTCTTATTTTAGCTTATTTACATGAATGCCCAATTTTCTATACAGAGAGAGAGAGAGTGAGTGTGTGTGTGTGTGTGTGTGTGTGTGTATGCTGGTATTGGGGCTTGAACTCAGGACCTAGGTGCCACCCCTTAGCTTTTTTTTGCTCAAAGATGGTGCTCTACCACTTGAGCCACCATTTCCACTTCGGCTTTCAGTGGTTAATTGGAGTTAGAGTCTTATAGACTTTTTGTCAGGCTGACTTCAAACCACAATCTTCAGATCTCAGCCTCCTAAGTAACGAGGAGTGAGCCACCAGTGTCCAGGCTGATATTTATTTAATCCAGCACTCAAAATCAGACACAAAAAAGTTTTAGTTCATCATTCCACTTCAGCTCACTAAAAGCAAGCAGTAAACAAATATCATAAATGCTGTTTCCACACAAGCAGCCAACCCTACCTAACCTATACTTTCCCTTCCCTTTGTTGGGCTATATGGGTCTCTAGGTGATACAATTTGGGTCACAACCCTAGCTCTGCACTTTGCTTCTCAATTGCTAAAGTCCTATTATCTCTTCAAGCATCAAGCCAAAGGAAAACCAAACATTTCTGAGACATTTTTATCCAACCTAATGTCACATTCAAGATCAAAGATAATGACTTACACTATACATCAACAATACAGAACCTAGCATCAATAAGCCAGGAAATGTGTGTTTTGGGCAGGGGGGAAGAAAGGGGGTGCCTAGCACTCTACAACATTGAGCCACACAGCTCCACTTCTGGTTTTCTTGTGGCTAACTAGAGATAGGAGACTCACAGACTTTCCTACCAGGAGTAGCTTTGAACCATGATCCTCAGATCTCAGCCTCCTGTATAGCTAGGACTATAGCTGTGAGCAACCAGCACCTGGCGGAAATGTATACTTCTGATGAGAATCATTACAAAATAAAAGCTAATAAAGGAACTTGAAATTAGATAATACACTTCAACTTAAGTCTCACATATTACAAGCTAGATTTGATCATTCACATTACCATTTTCTCCACAAGAGATAAGCAAAATATGGATTAATTCATTCTTATTTGCAAAAATAAGAACTAGAAAACTTACCAGAGAAGTTGCCATGAATGGCAAAGCTGATGCCAGTAGCTCGCTGCAAGGTTAAATTGTACAGGAACATGGTGGCAGCAAAACCCAGTACTCCACACCTTGGTTACACCAATAGTATCAAGTCAAAACAAGCTAAGGACACAGAAAGAACAATTTTTTTTTTAAAGAAAAAGAACTGAGAAATTATGTATTTTAAGACATTTGTTTAGAGAAACTTCTGGTTAAAAGATTAAGGTCTACTGAAGAACACATATAAAACTGCGTATATTCTACGGTTGGGAATGTAACACAGAGGTAGAGTGCTTGCTTAGCATGTGAGAAGCCCTGGATTTAATCCCCAGCAAAGCAAAAACACAAGTTTTTCTATATCTTCAAGCTTTGCTCAGATCACAAAAATCCCACAAAAGCTCAGCATGTGGCCTGTCTAATCCCAGCATTTAGAAGCTGAGACAAAAGGACTTAAAGGCCATCTTGGGCTACAAAGCAAGACCTGCATTAAAAGTAACAATGATGCCATGTGCTGGTGGCTCACACCTGTGATCCCAACATTCAGGGGGCAAGGGCAGAAGAATCCCAAGTTCCAGAATGAGCAACATACTGAAACCTTACCTCAAAAAATAAAACAGTATGCTGGGTACTGGTGGCTCACACCTATAATCCTAGCTACTCAGGATGCTGAGATCTGAGGATCACAGTTCTAAGCCAATCTGGGCAGGAAAGTCACAAAAAGCTCAAGAGGTTGGGGGAAACAGCCTCTAAGCAAGTTACACCAAAGGCTGAGTAGTATATTTTATATACTCACACTATATGGCAATTTAAACTACTTTGAGACAGCACTAAAAGGCTTTCAAAAAAATAAGAAAAAGAAAAAGGCTCTCTCTACAGTTGCAGAGTATTCCACTGTGGGTATCATTCACTTAAATATTCTACTAATGAAGCCAGGAGTCAGTGGCTCACGCCTGTAATCCTAGATACTCAGGAGGCTGAGATCTGAGGATCTCCGTCCAAAGCCAGACTGGACAGGAAAGTCCATGAGACTCTTATCTCTAATAAGCCACCAGAAAACCAGAAATGGCACTGTGGCTCAACTGGTAGAGCACTAGCCTTGAGCTGAAGAGCTGAGGGACTGAGCACAGGCCCAGAGTTCAAGCCCCAAGACCAACCAAAAAATAAATAAATAAATAAAAATTCTAATGAATTCAGGTTGTTTCCAGTTGTTTGCTATTACAGTGTTGCAAAGAAAATAAATACCTTCCACTTAAGGTCATTTTTATGTGCATGGGTATAACTCTAAAATTAATTACTAGAAGTGAAATTGGTGGATTAAAGAACTTATATATACCCCCTACATATACATACATGTTTTATATACATCCATAGGTATATATATGGTTGTGTGTGTGTGTATATATGCATATATATTTATGATTTTGTTTTTTTGGTCTCAGTCCTGGGGCTTGAACTCAGGGCCTGGGAACTGTCCCTGGGCTCTTTTTTAAGGCTAGTGTTCTATCACTTGAGCCACAGTTCAATTTTCAGCTTTTCTGATTAATTGGAGATACAGTCTCACAGACTTTCCTGCTGGAACTGGCTTCAAACTACAACCCTCAGATCTCAGCCTACTGAGTAAATAGGATTATAGGCAAGAGCCATTGACACCAGACTTATGTATTGTTTTTGACAGAAACTAATTTTCAGAAGCCTTCCAATTTACATTGAAAGCCAATTAATTTCCTGTTCCCCATAACCAGCCAAAATGATGGTAAAACTTTTTACCTTTGTTAATCTTGCTAATGAAAATTGGTATCTTAGTATAATTTTCATTTGCCTTCATTTATCTCTTATATAACTCATATTTGAGGTTTTTTTGTTTCTAATTGTGTGTGTGTGTGTGTGTGTGTGTGTTGCTGGGGATGGAACCTAAGGCTTTATTTAGGCAAGTGCTCTACCAATGAGCTACCCACACCTTCAGCCTGATGAGTATTTTTAAATTTGAATCAACACATTATCAAACACTAAAAAGCACTGCATTCTACACACATCAGGAAAACTTCCCTAAAGTCACAAGATTTCTTCTTAAGGGACAACACAGAAGACAGCACAAAACAGGTCTCATAATTTCCTCAAGTTACACATACTCAGGTAAGACAAGATAAACTGAATTACTTTTCTAGAGAAACCCCAAATCCCTGATATGTAGTTAACATACAAATTGACTTCTGCTGTTAAACCAGAGTACATGTACTCATAAAATAGTCATTTCTGGGCTACACAAGAGCAAGTGTAAAGATCAATCTTCCAGGCTGGAAGTGGGGCCTGAGTAGGTTCCACCAGAATATTTTTCTTTGTGGCTAATGGGAAGAACTTGCCCTATTTTCCGGTTTTTTTTTTTAAACCAAATGTCATCCATTTACAAAACCTAGAGATTAATTATCCCCAAACCTAGTTGGGCCCAAGTTTTCCAACCACACTTTCACCGTGAGTAACGGTGAAGGAGCGTTCTGAAGGAACGTAAGTTCAGTAGTAAAACTATATGCCAGAAAACTTGGTAGGTTTGGTAAATACAGGTCTATCAACCCTCTGCGGTTACTTCAAGTATCTTTATTTTCTCAAACCATTTTTTTATCCGTGCTCCAAGTGAACACCACTGTATTTAAGACTCTCAAAGTCTGCAAGATTGTTACCATGCTTCATTTTGCAAAGAAAACTGGGGTTTAGACTCTCAAGGTCTCCAAGATTGTTATCATGCTTCATTTTGCACAGAAAACTGGGGTTTCGAGGTCGAGACAAATTGCCCAACTATCAAAACACACAAATTCCAACCAGAGTTGACCCCCCCCCCCCCCAGAGTTGACTGCTCCAATTCTGCTAGGAGATTCCCGTTAGGGCCTATTCACTATTTCCAGAGGGAGATAGCCTTCCTGCTTCTTCTTACTCCTTCCCGCCTCAGAGACCCAGGACCAAAAGCGAAGTCATTTCTGCCCCCCCCCCCCCCCCCGCGCGCCCCGTTTTGAGACAAGGTACTTAAGAGATCCCAGGCTGGCCTCGAATCCATAGTCCTCCGGCCTCAGCCTCCCGAGCGGAGTGCTGGGACTCACAGGCGTGCTCCACGACGCCCGGGTGGCGAGCCTCTATTATAGGGCTGGGTCGCGCGGGGACCCCAGGAAGCCGGTTGCGCGCCGCAGGCTTGCGCTCACAGCTCCCCACACACACCCGCCACCACCGCTCGGGGCCTACACGGCCTGAGACTCCCGCCAAAGCGTCGGGGCCCCCTCCCAAGAGGCCGCTCCTCACTTCCCCGGAGCCAGAAAGGTTTCGAAGCTACTTCTTTACCCTGCAGCAGGAAGGATGGCGTAAGTATCCGCTGGATGCTGAATCCCTTCAAGGCCTAAGCCGCCCGCAACGCCAATCGGCAGGCGTCCGCCATTAGTCCTCAAGACTGGGGCCTTGCGACGGCGCGCGACGGGAAGAAGGTACCCAACTTGCGCCTGAATAGTATATGTAGATAATTTTTACGTGCCTCTCTCTCTGCTTCCACGCCGCATTTAAACTATTTAAATATACGGTATTACTGTAACTAAAATCAAGGTTTAAAGAAAAAAAACTTAAATATTAGCTACTCAGGCACTACTATGGGCAGCCCCAATGACGAGGCGCGCCAACGACCAGGGGTCCTCGCGGACCCGGAAGCACCGAATAGGAACCAAGATGGCTGATGTGGCTTCTCTTCCGAAGTCCGGAGCGCCTCCGCCGCCCGAGGGGGTGGGAGGAGGCGGCTGTTCTGAAATCTCTACCGAGCTCATTCGTTCCCTGACCGACCTGCAGGAGCTGGAGGCTGTGTACGAACGGCTCTGCGGCGAGGAGGTGGGGGGGCTGGAACTCTTTTTCCAGGAGGATCGGGGGCCTGTGGGCATTAGACTGTCAGTGGTGGGAAATCCGGGCTGTGAGCAGCGCTCTCCTGGAAGACGGGGGAGGGAAAGAGACCGAAAGCTTCCTGTGCAAGAAGTGTTAGCGTAGTTGGGTCCTTGGTTAGACATTGTAACTGTCCACTCGGCCTGATGCTCCCACAAGGTTATTTGATCTGATCATCTGGGAGATCAGTACCCTTCTCTCTCTTCCCCCATTCATTTCCCTAGCCCTGTAGTCACTGTAGTGTTTCTCAAGTGAGTAAAGAGAGTATGTGCCCAGTGCCTTCGTTCTCTAAAATTGTATTGACTTACCTGTTGAAAAATGACGAAACACTACCTTCCCATTATTTCATTTAAGCAAGAAGTAGTTGCAAATAAAGTTGAAGAGTTTTAAGAATTCTTGCAGAGAATGATAAGCGGATGTACGTTTAGCATTTCAGTTAAATGCACAGCTTTGTACTTTGTTTCGTTTTAGGATGGTACTGGAGGTTGAACCCAGGGCCTTTGGGCTTGCTAGGCAAGTATTATACCTCTGGGAGTTAATTGTCTTCATGCCTCAGCCTCTGAAGTAGGTTGAATTACAGACACGTATTACCACCACAGTCTGCTAGAACGTTTAAAGCACAGGCACTGTTGTCTTGGACAATTCACTTCATTTCTTCCACCTTATGTTCTGTCAAATAAGGGCATGTACTACTAGATTCTAAGGTTTCTATTGCTTTATAATATCCTGTCTCCTCCTTAACCTGTCCAAGGTAATTGGAAGCTGTCAATTCACTCTCCAATGTCATTTGAGTTCCTAGCCAATCATAAGAAGAGATACAAGCTCTGCTATAAAAGTTTAGTAGCTGTTTTTTCCAAATCACTCTTTAAAAAAGATGAATACAAAAGGCAGTTTCACCCTGGGGGAGAGAAAGTCATTAATATCTTTAAACATTTTGAAATATTAACTTCTGACAACTCTAGGTTTCTGATACTTTTTTTTCCCTACAAGGTGTATTTTTCAATACGGTGTCCTTAACATTTCTAAGCTTGCATTCATTGAGTCCGTACTTTGGAGAAAAGTTAAGTAATTCTTATAGACATAAAAATATTAGTCTTTGTTTCTGACTGTCAGGGGAAGTTTCACTCTATCTCCTACTGAACTATCTTAATAAAAATATCCACCTTCCAGGTGCTGGTGGCTCATACCCATAATCCTAGCTATTCAGGAGGCTAAGATCTGAGGCAGTTTGAAGCCAGCCTGCCCAGCAAAGTCTGTAAGACTTATCTCCTGTAAATTACTCAGAAAAAAAGCCCGAATGGCCCTGTAGATCAAATGGTAAAATGCTAGCCTTAAGCACTGAGTTCAAGCCCAAGGACTGGCAAAAAATAAATATCCCCCTACATCTGAGTTACATTTCAAAGGTATAATGCCAACTTCACGAGTGAAAGGCACTGAGTTCAAACCCCAGTAGCATATACACATGTGCTCGCGCGTGCACACACACACACACATACGCGTGTGCACACACACACACATACACACAAGTCTACTAGTAAATGGCTTTTAAACTGTGCAGTCCAATCAGGTTAAACACTGGGGTTCTCCTGTTTATATTGCACAACATCCTATAAAATACATAATGCTATTCCTATTTTCCAAGTGAAGAAACTGAAGCATAAGGTTACATAAAAGTAGGCATCAGTGACTCAAGCCTGTAATCCTAGTTACTCAGGAGGCTGAAATATAAGGATCACAGTTTGAAGCCAATGCAAGCAAGAAAGTCCATGAAATTAACCACCAAAAAGCCAGAAGTAGAGCTGTGGCTCAAATGGTAGCATGTTAACCATGAGCATAAAAACTCAGCTCCCAGGCCCTGAGTTCAAGCCCCAGGATCAGCACAAAAAAGGGGTGTGGGTTTAGCATACATTGAAGTCGCAGAGTAAATGACTTTACTGAGATAGAATTGTATTTACTACGTACCAAGAAATGACTGCCACTGTGGAAATTTCATTTGTTTAGGTATTATGTGTATTTTTCTACCTGTGTGATGCATTATGATAAAGTTTATTTGCGGTTGGAGATACAGTTCAGTAGTAGACTGCTTGCTTAGCAAGCACTGAGTTTAATCCCCACCACCAATTTTTTTTAATTCTTTTTTAAAAATTAAAAAAAAACTTTCTGCTGATCCAGTAGATGAAATAAGACATACATAAGGAAAGAATTATCATGCATTGTATTAAGTACAGAAACAAAGTATTGTTTAAGTCCAAGGGAGCATAGTAAAAAGAAACAACTTGAAATGGGATTCACCCTTCAAGTAGTTGCTGGGTTAAATAACTCATAAGGATCCTTCTACTCAAGGATAACAAGCTGTTTCTCTGTGTTTCAGAAAGTGGTGGAAAAAGAGCTGGATGATCTTTTGGAACAGCAAAACACTATTGAAAATAAGATGGTCACTCTCCACCGAATGGGGTGAGTCCATGCATCATGGCAAGACTGACTACATTCCTGCAGGGTCCACTAGCTAAGTTATTATTTGTCCTAACTTTGTTATAAACTGCCAATTGAGTTTCAAATGGAGTTTCAAATGGAGTAGCATTACCTCAACATAGGGACGCCTAAGGGTATACAGTTCAGTAGTTTTCAAAGCCTTGGACATAGAAACGTGTTAGAAATACAAATTCCAGGGTCCACCCCCACACTTAATGAATCAGGAACTATGAGTGAAGCCCAGGAATATTTATATAATGTCTGCCAGGTGATTGGATGTGCAGTTCAAGTTTGAGCTTTTGAAGATGCATATTAACTATTCATAAAAATTGCTCTTTTTCTTAGTATCCTCTAACATTCTTTTTTTTTTTTTTTTTTTTTTTTTGTCAGTTGTGGGGCCTGAACTCTGGACCTGGGCACTGTCCCTCAGCTCTTCAGCTCAAGGCTAGTGCTCTACCACTTGAGCCACAGCACCACTTCTGGCTTTTTCTCCTTATGTGGTGCTGAGGAATCGAACCCAGGGCCTCATGCATGCAAGGCAGTCACTCTACCACTGAGCCACCTTCCCAGCCCTCTAACATTCTTGACTAGTGCATTTATGTAACTTAGCTGCTAGGAGAATGTATTCTCTAATTCTCTGGCTATATTTATTTAGGGGTGAATCTAGTAGTTTTAGAATTAATATTTTATTTACCTATTGTTGTAGTGCCAAGGATCAGATCTAAAGTATCATACACACATATACACACACTAGGGGCATAAACATAGCATCATTAAATGCATGCATTAATTACAAGTACATTGAAATTTAGCAATTGTAAATGCACAAAGAAATAAATATGTACTTTAGCACATTTCCTTGGCTGTGATCCCTCTTCCTACCCCAGCCTTCTTACTATTTTATTAAATGTAGGTCTGAGTTCACAGTAAAATAATTTTGGAAGCCAGGCACTTGTTGCCTGTAATCCTAGCTACTCAGGAGGCTAAGATCTGAGGATCACGGTTTGAAGCCAGCCCAGGAAAGGATAGTCCATGAGACTCTTACTTCCAATAAGTTACCAAAAAAAAAAAAATGAGAAGTAGTGTTGTGGCTCAAGTGATAGAGTGGCGTGGCTCAGTGATAGAGTGGTAGCCTGGGGCAAAAGAAGCTCTGAGACAGTGCCCCTGAGTTAAAGCCCCAGGACTGGCACAAAAAAAAAAAAAGTAGAAGGCATAGTCTGCATCTGCAAAACCATTTTCATTTCTTATCACCCTTTGTCCTAATGGATATCTGTCGCTGGCAATTTGTGTCTCCAGTCCCAATCTGCAGCTGATTGAGGGAGATGCTAAGCAGCTGGCTGGAATGATCACCTTTACCTGCAACCTAGCTGAAAATGTGTCCAGCAAAGTCCGTCAACTTGACCTGGCCAAGGTAATCCCATAGAACCGTGTCTGAGTTAGATGGCAGGAAAGAAGCTCTCACATTAGAGACGTTAATAGCACTATCAACTAGAAATCTAATATAAAATGCCAGAGACAGACAGGTATTTCAAAGGAAAATTCCATGCCAGGCACAATGGCCTAACCCTAGCTACTTAAAAGATGGGGAAAGAAGGGCTGGGAAGGCGGCTAAGTGGTAGAGTGCTTGCCTTGTATGCATGAGGCCCTGGGTTCAATTTCTTAGCACCACATAAGTAGAAAAAGCTGGAAGTGGCACTGTGGCTCAAGTGGTAGAGCACTAGCCTTGAGTTGAAGAGCTGAGGGACAGTGCCCAGGCCCAGAGTTCAGGCCCCACAACCAACAAAAGAAAAAAAAAGATGGTGCAAGATGGGGATTAGAAAATTGTAATTTGAGGTCAGCCCAAATTCAGGAGACTCCATTTCATCCAATGGCTGGGCATTGTGGTATGTGCAATTTCCAGGAAAGCACAGTGGCTGGGCACAGTGTGTGCCTGTCATCCCCAGTGAACAGGGAAGCACAAATAGAAGGGCCATATGCTCTACAACCAACAAAAAAAATAACAGTTTTGTGAGTGGTAGGAGTACTGGTTGTATTTGCTAACTGACACTATAAAAGCTCAATGGTTAATTAAATTCGCCTCCTTAATCTCTACCTTGTACGGAGAACAAAACAAACATGATTTCTAAGCATCAAATCTTTTTGCAGAACCGTCTCTATCAGGCCATTCAGAGAGCTGATGACATCTTGGACCTGAAATTCTGCATGGATGGAGTTCAGACTGCTTTAAGGAATGAAGATTATGAGCAGGCTGCAGCCCACATTCATCGATACTTGTGCCTAGATAAGTCAGTCATTGAGCTCAGCCGACAAGGCAAAGAAGGTGGGCATCCCAAACTGTTGATTATGAGTATCTGTAATCTGAATTAGGCAAACTCAACCATGTATTAGAGAAGTTTCCTTTTCTGGTCCTATTTAGGTCCTCACCATCTCAGGGCAGATGTTATTTCCATTTTATGGAAAAAGGAAATGAATTTATACTTAACTGATTCTGTGGCCAGTTGGTTCTTTGCATTAAACCATATTGCCTACTTGAAATTTTTAGCTTGATATTCTGGGCCTTCCATAATCTTTACTCAACCTAAGCAACTATTCTTCATCTTTCTACTTCTTTTTTTTTTTTTTTTTCTTTTTTTTTTTTTTTTTTTGTCGGTCGTGGGGCTTGAACTCTGGGCCTGAACACTGTCCCTCAGCTCTTCAGCTCAAGGCGAGCGCTCTACCACTTGAGCCACAGTGCCACTTCCGGTTTTCTGGTGGTTTATTGGAGATAGGAGTCTCACGGTCTCTCCTGCCCGGGCTGGCTTTGAACCGCGATCCTCAGATCTCAGCCTCCTGAGTAGCTAGGATTACAGGCGTGAGCCACCAGCGCCCGGCTCTTTTTTTTTTTTTTTTTAATCCGTCATGGGACTTGAACTCAGGGCCTGGGTGCTGTCCTTGAGCTCTTTTGATCAAGGCTAGTGCTCTACTACTTTTAGCCACAGCATCACTTCCAGTTTTTGAGTGGGTAATTGGAGATAAGAGTCTCACAGGGACTTTTCTGCTCCAGCTGGCTTCAAACTGCAATCATCAGATCTTAGCCTCCTGAGTAATTAGGATTATAGGTGTGAGCCACTGGTACCTAGCTCACCTTTCTTCTTCTTCTTCTTCTTCTTCTTCTTCTTCTTCTTCTTCTTCTTCTTCTTCTTCTTCTTCTTCTTCTTCTTCTTCTTCTTCTTCTTCCTCTTCCTCTTCCTCTTCCTCTTCTTTTTTTAATTTTTTTTTGCCAGTCATAGGGTTTGAACTCAAGGCCTGAGTACTGTTCCTGAGCTTCTTTTGCTCAAGGCTAGTGCTCTACTACTTTGAGCCACAGCACCACTTCTGACTTTTTCTGTTTATGTGGTACTGAGGAATTGAACCCAGCGCTTCATGAATGCTAGGCAAGCGCTCTACCACTGAGCAACATTCCCAGCCCCTCATCTTTCTACTACTATCCTTACTCAAGTCTCAAAATCATACCCACCTTTTAGAGAGGGCTCCTCACTTTCTAGCAATTCTTTGTACTTTGCAACTTTGAAGAACTTCCTTGGAGCAATTTATCAGAATATTTAATAGATATTTATGTTCAAAACTTTCATTTAAGTGTACCCTCCATGACAGTAGGATCATGGCTGACTTCATCTCTTTAACATCCACACTGCAAGTCTAGTATCTAGCACAGTAAGTGCATAGTACATACTTCTTAGTGAATACTGGTGGCTAGACACTGGTGGCTCACAGTCAGGAGACTCAGATCACAATTAAATTGGATCAGAATTCAAAGCTAGCCTACTCAGGAAAGTCTGTGAGACTCTTTATCTCCAATTAACTGCCAAAAATCCAGAAGTGGAGCTGTGGCTCAAATGGGAGAGCACTAGCATTGAGCAAAAACTCCAGGAACAGTGTCTAAAGCCCTAGGACAAACATTAAAAAAAAAAAAACATGGAGCAGATACAGTACCATTCTTTGCATTAAGTTTCATTTTTCTCCCCATTGAGCAGGAAGCATAATTGATGCCAACCTGAAATTACTGCAAGAAGCTGAGCAACGTCTCAAAGCTATTGTAGCAGAAAAATTTGCCATAGCTACCAAGGAAGGGGATTTGCCCCAGGTGGAACGTTTCTTCAAGATCTTCCCACTGTTGGGTTTGCATGAAGAGGGATTAAGCAAATTCTCAGAATACCTCTGCAAGCAGGTATGGGCCCAGGTTATTTGTCCGGAAAATGATATAGTTCTTTGCCTGGAGAGACTGAATAAGTCCAGTTTTTATGGATTCTTTGTCTTTTCTGCATATGATTTTTTTCTGCTCCTTCTGGAATCTGGCAGAATTGAATGCATGCATTTACTCAACACATTTATTGCCAGCCTATTGATGGCGTAGGCATCTGCTACTACACATTTATTTCCAAAAATGAAAATGCAAGTTCTCTGACAAGTTGAATCATCCTTTTCAAGCTGTTAGTGAGGAACTGGCTCCTTTTAAAAGTAATTGAAAGCCAGATGCTGGTGGCTCATGCCTGTAATCCTAGCTACTTGGGAGGCTGAGATCTGAGGATCGAAGTTCAAAGCCAGCCTGGGTAGGAAAGTCCATGAGACTTATTTCCAATTAACCACCAGAAAACCAGAAGTGGTACTGTGGCTCAAAGTGGAGAGCACTAACCTTGAGCACAAAAGCTCAGAGACAGCACCAGGCCCCAAGTTCAAGCTCCATAACTAACAATCAATTCAATCAATAAATAAGCAATTGAAATTCTTGGTTAATGGTCTCAAGACTTCATAACCATTCTGGAGTCTCAATGGGCTTCAGTTTGATTCTTAGGACTTTAATGCTTTTTATTTTTTTAGTATCAGTATCAGACTTGAAATCAAGGCCCTGTGTTCTCACTTGGCACTTTTCATCACAGTTGGCATTTCATCACTTGAACTCTACCACCAGTCAGACTTTTTGTTGATTAACTGGACATGGAGTCTCATTGACCAACTTTTCTTTGCCCTGTCTGGCTTCTAATTATGATCCTTAGATCTCAGCCTCCTGGGCCATGAGCCAATAATGCCTAATAGTACTTTTCTTCTGTTCAAAATATGGACTACTGCTGAGCACCAGTAGCTTACTCTTGTAATCCTAGCTGCTCAGGAGGCTGAGATCTGCAAATCTCAGTTCAAGGCCAGCCTAGGCAAGAAAATCCATGAGACTTTTTTTTTTTTTTTGGTTAGTTGTGAGGCTTGAACTCTGGGCCTGGGCGCTGTCCCTCAGCTCTTCAGCTCAAGGCTAGCACTCTATCACTTGAGCCATAGTGCCATTTCTGGTTTTCCGAGTGGTTTATTGGAGATAAAAGTCTCACAGACTTTCCTGCCCGGGCTGGCTTTGAACTGCAATCCTTAGATCTCAGCCTCCTGGGTAGCTAGGATTACAGGTGTAAGCCATGAACACCCAGCTTCCATGAGACTCTTACCTCCAATAAACTACTCTGAAAAAAACAGAAGTGGCTCTATGGCTCAAGTGGTGGAGTGCTAGCCTTGAGCACAGGGAGGCTCAGGGACAGCACAAGTTCAAGCCTCTGGACTGGCAAAAAAAAAAAAAATTGAAATTTTAAATGTGTGTGTGTGTGTTAGTGTTGTGTGTGTGTGTGTGTTAAAGGGCTAGCATAATCTCAAAGTAACTGGTTCTCATAAATGGTATCTGTCAAGCTAGGACAAGGAATCTTGGTATTCTGGGGGGGAAGAACTGAGTTCAAGCTCCAATACTGGCATGAAGGAAAAAATAAATAGCTGGGTGTTGGTGGCTCATGCCTGTAATTCTAGCTACTCAGAAGGCTGAGGTCTGTGGAAGGTGGTTGAAAGCCATTGGGGAGAGAAAAAAATCCATGAGACTCTGCTCTCCAATTAAGCACACACACAAAAAAACTAGAATTGGAGGTATGGTTCAAGTGGTAAAGTTCTATTAGCCTTGAACAAAAGGCTAAGGAACAGTACCCAGGCCCTGAGTTCAAGACCCAGTACTAATAAAATATAAAAAAACAAAAACAAAAAGCTTCCATATTACCCAGATTTCTTGTTAAGAATAACAAGCTAAACTTTGAGGAGATTATTACAACTAGGGTCACTCTCCCTTTAGCTAATGACAGCTTGGGTTTGTTGTTATTGTTGTTGTTTAGCTGTGAAACAAGTGTCTATGAACTTTTTAATTTTTTATTGTCTTTATAAAGGTGATATACAGAGGGGTTACAGTTAAATAAGTCAGGTAATAAGTACATTTATTTTTGGACAATGCAACCTCTTCCCATGCTCTCTTCCAGTTTTTCCTTCCCATCCCATCCACAAGTTGGATAGTTCACTTTCAGTCTATACCTAGTTAGTACCTAGTATCTAGTGACTACCACCACTGCATTTGTTGCTAATATTTTGTTTATGTTTTGTTTCTGCTGGCCCTGGGTTTGAACTCAGGGCCTAGGCACTGTTTCTGAGCTTTTGTGCTCAAGACTAGTACTCTACCACTTGAACCACAGCTCCACTTCCAGCTTTTTGGTGGTTAGTTGGAGATAAGAGTCTCACAGACTTTCCTGTCCAAGCTGGCTTTGAACCAAAATCCTCAAACCTCGGCCTCCTAAGTGGCTAGGATTCCAGGCATGAGCCACTGCTGTCTGGCTAACTGTTTATATTTTGGAAGAGAAGGAAAGCATTATTTATCCTTCTGAATGAAAGAAGAGTTATCTCTTTGCTCTAGTTTCTTGCCCTACCTGAACTCACACAGCCCAGATTCTCACCAAGAGAGGTTCCTCCAACCACCAAGAGAACGTACAGGGAAGAAAAACCAGTGGGAGGCCTTTTGGAAAACAAATTTACCCTGCATGAGGCTGGCCTTTGATCTAAGAAGTATATGTGAATTTTGTGCCCAGGTAGCCAGTAAAGCTGAGGAGAACTTACTGTTGGTGCTAGAGTCGGATATGAGTGACCGAAGAGCTGCAGTCATCTTTGCAGACACACTCACTCTCCTGTTTGAAGGTGAGCTTCTTTCTCTACTCTATCTCTACTTTCTCTACATCTGCTTCCTACCCCTCTTCTTTCCCTTCCAGTCTGATGCTTTCAATCTAATCCTATAGTTTACTATGCATTAATGATAGGAGAATTAACTCCCAGATTTAGAATCTGATTAGTAAAATTAATCTCTCCAATATTTTGATCTTCCCTATCTCTTCAGACCCAAGCTCTGTTAAAGTAAATTGAATATAATTTAAAACAAGAAAATTATCTTGACTTCCAAAGATGCTGTTGGAGAGAATAGTCATAATATGATTTCTATTTTTTTTTTTTGGTCAGTCGTGGGGCTTGAACTCTGGGCTTGGGCTGCGCTCTTCAGCTCAAGGCAAGCACTCTATCTCTTGAGCCACAGCGCCACTTCTGGTTTTCTAGTGGTTTTATTAGAGATAAGTCGCCGGAGCGCTGGTGGCTCACGCCTGTAATCCTAGCTCCTCAGGAGGCTGAGATCTGAGGATCGCGGTTCAAAGCCAGCCCGGGCAGGAGAGACCGTGAGACTCCGATCTCCAATAAACCACCAGAAAACCGGAAGTGGCGCTGTAGCTCAAGTGGTAGAGCGCTCGCCTTGAGCTGAAGAGCTGAGGGACAGTGCCCAGGCCCAGAGTTCAAGCCCCACGACCGACAAAAAAAAAAGAGTCTAATGGACTTTCCTGCCTGGGCTGGCTTTGAACCGAGATTCTCAGATCTCAGCCTCCTGAGTAGCTAGGATTACAGGTGTGAGCCACTGACGCCTGGCTTCATAATATGATTTCTTAAATTTCTATTAGTGTCCCAATCATTGCTCATATTTAAGAATTTCCTGCCAGATGCCTATAATCCTAGCTACTCAGGCTGAGATCTGAGGATCACAGTTCAAAGACAGCCCAGACAGAAAAGTCCCTGTGACACTCTTACCTCCAATTAACCACTCAAATACTGGACATTGAGCTGTGGCTGAAAGTGGTAGAGTGCTAGCCTTGAGCAAAAGAGCTCAGGGACAGTCGGGCATCAGTGGCTCAAAGCCATCCCGGGCATGAATGTTGGTGAGACTCTTTATCTCCAATAAACCACTCAAGCGGTAGAGTGCTAGCCTTGAGCTGAAGAGCTGAGGGACAGCCCCCAAGCCCAGAGTTCAGGCCCCACAACCAACCCAAAAAAAAAAAATTCTTAGCACCACCTGGAACTATTTGTGAGGGATCATTTTGGTAATGAAGTAACTGAAGAGGATTGAGTTAAACCTAGGTTAGTCTTGGATAGAAAGGAGGGAAGAATGTTTGGAATTGCCTCTCTCACTTCTAGGAATTGCCCGCATTGTGGAGACTCACCAACCCATAGTGGAGACCTATTATGGACCCGGGAAACTTTATACCCTAATCAAATATCTTCAAGTGGAGTGTGACAGACAGGTGGAGAAGGTGGTAGACAAGTTCATCAAGCAGAGGGATTACCACCAGCAGGTGAGCAGGGGAAGCTACCAGTGGTTTGGAAGCAACTTTGGCCAGGGACATTGAGAAGAATAAATTAGAAAAAAAGAACAGCAACAAAAGATAGGAAAAGAGCAAATACTGAATTCACACTAGCCTTTGTCTTGTCTATTTCCACCTTACTTTGGTTTTTTTGTTTTTTTTTTTGGTCCGGTCGTGGGGCCTGAACTCTGGGCCTGGACGCTGTCCCTCAGCTCTTCAGCTCAAGGCTAGCACTCTACCACTTGAGCCACAGCATCACTTCCGGTTTTTTTCTTTTTTGCTTATGTGGTGCTAAGAAATTGAACCCAGGGCCTCATGCATGCAAGGCAAGTGCTCTATCACTGAGCCACCTTCCCAGCCCCTCCACCTTACTTTGGACTTATATTGTCAATGTGATGATGGGCTCGGTACAGGACTGAAAAGAAAATGGGGCTTCCTGAAAGAACACAACAGAAACCTTAGACCAATTTTCTAATACAGTGTGCCATAGTGTACCCTCTATTGATACAGATTTTCTTTCCTAAGATTCTAGTTTTTGTTTTGAATCTCCTCTTAATTCTTTACTGCTAAAGATAACATTTGCTTTTGGGGACTTTATTTTTCCATATCTATGAGCAGAGGGAGCAAAAATAGTACATAGGAATCCTTAACACAATTATATCTCCAAAATTCCAGACTAGGACACTATAATACAGAGTCATCCATTGGAACACTATTAGCATTACTTTTAAGTGCAATAGCTAATCTTTAGCCCATCATCCCAAAAGTCCACCTCTGGCTTACAGGAAAAGTAAGCCTGGTGAGCAAGTTGAACCTAAATGTTCTTGTATGCTAAAAGTTTAGAGGGATCAGCAGGAGACAGATAGTTGGAAGACGGGGAAGAGAATTCTCATTTCTATGGTATGTTGCAGTTTCGACTTGTCCAGAGCAACTTGAGAAATCCTTCAACAGAAAAAATTGAACCAAGGTAATTATCACTTCTGCCTTTTTGGCTGTAATTAGAGCTAAGATCTCAGATTTGTCTGCCCAGGCTGGCTTCAAACCTTGATCCTCAGACCTAAGCTGCTTTTTTTTTTTTTTTTGGTCATGGGGCTTGAACTCTGGGCCTGAGTGCTGTCCCTCAGCTCTTCAGCTAAAGGCTAGCACTCCACTACTAGAGCCACAGCGCCACTTCTGGCTTTTTCTGTTTATGTGATGCTGAGGAATCAAACCCAGGGCCTCATGCATGCAAGGCAAACATTACCACTGAGCCACCTTCCCAGCCCCAGACCTAAGCTTCTTGAGTAGATAGGATTATAGGTGTAAGCCACCAGTGCAAAGTTTGGGGTAGTGTATTTTCTTTCACCTGAGGTACAGGCACAGATAATTCTTCTACTTAGCCATGGCAGAATTTTAAGGAGTAAGTAATTTAGTTGAAACAGATATGTGGACAATGTAGTTGGCAACTATCTCATAACTAGGACAGCACAGCCAGCATGAGCTTCTGGCAGAGCTACTCTTGCGTGCATGCGTGCGTGCGTGTGTGCGTGTGTGTTGGTGCGCATGTGTACATGCACGCACTGATAGTGGGGCTTGAACTCATGGTTTGGGAGCTGTCCCTGGACTTTTGTGATCAAGGCTAGAACTCCACTACTTGAGCCACAGCTCCACTTCCACCTTTCTTAGTAGTTAATTGGAGGTAAGAGTCTCACAGACTTGCCTACCTGGGCTGGCTTCAAACTGCAATCCTCAGATCTCAGCTTCCTGAATAGCTAGGATTATAGGTGTGAGCACCAATGCCTAGCAGTTACTTTTACAGGCCCAAAGGGGATGGAGAATTAGAAACTCTTTGTCCTTAAAGCTCTTCTTATTCCTTCGGCTCTGTGTTTCAGGGAACTGGACCCCATCCTTACTGAAGTCACTCTAATGAATGCCCGCAGTGAGCTATACTTACGCTTCCTCAGGAAGAGAATCAGCTCAGATTTTGAGGTGGGGGACTCCATGGCCTCCGAAGAAGTAAAGCAAGGTAAAATATGTTTCTCATATTCTGTAAACCACAGATCTCTTGCTAAGGAAATAACAAAGCCTCAGTGCATCTCTGGCCAACTTGACTCTCATCTAATCATTTTATTTAAGTTTTTGTTTTTTTTTTGAGATATGTACAGGTTTTAAAGAACCTGTACAATGCCAGGCACTGGTGGCTCATGCCTATAATCCTAGCTACTCAGGAGGCTGAGAGCTGAGGATCACAGTTCAAAGCCAGCCTGGTCAGGAAAGTCCATGAGATTCTTACCTCCAATTAACCACCAAACAAGCCAGGAATGGAGCTGTAACTCAAGTGATAGAGTGCCAACATTGAGCAAAAAGGCTAAGGGACAGAGCCTAGACCCTGTATTCAAGTACCAATACCAGCCACATAGTGAGACCCTGTTTCAAAATAAAACAACTATTCAATACAAAGAAAGCCTTCCACTCAACTCCTTTTTCAGTGTTCCAGTTCTACAAGTCACAAATTTTGAAGAGGTAAATGATATTTAAAAAAAGATAAGACCGGGTAATCTCATTAATAGTTAAGTTCTCCAGGGTTATTGTTTTGAGATCAGGTCTCATTATGCCTCGGCTGCTCTCGAATTCTTCCTTAGCACATTCTCCCACCTCAGTCTCTTCAGTAGCCTGGCCTAATGCTACTGAACCTAGCTGACTGCCCGAGTTTCTTTTCTTTTCTTTTCTTTTTTGCCAGGGGTGGGCTTGAACTCATGGCCTGGGTGCTGTCCCTGAGCTTTTTCACTCTAGGCTAGCAGTCTACCACTTTGAGCCCCAGCACCATTCTAGGTTTCTGGTGGTTAAAGAGTCTTATGGCCTTTCCTGCCCAGGCTAGCTTCAAACTAGCCTTCTGAGTAACTAAGATTACAGGCATGAGCTACTGCTGCCTGGCTCTGTCCAATGGCACATACCTATATCCTCAGTTACTCCAAAGGCTAAGACAGGAGGTCTCTTGAGCCCAGGAGTTTAGGTCAGACTAAACCACATAGCAAAACTTAGGGAGGAGAGTAAGAGAGTGGAGAGAAGGAGGGAAGTAAAGGGAGAGGGAGAGAATTACAAAGTACAATGAAGTTAATATATAGGAAAAAAAATAAGATATTTAAAAAGAACAAAAAGTACTGTGATTATAGCCAAGTAATATATGAACCTATTTGGGAGGAAGATTAGAAGAGGACATGAATAAAAGTGAAAATGTTACTCCATTGCCCTTGGGGAAAAAAAGTGAATATTCGGGCTGGGAAGGTAGCTCAGTGGTAGAGTGTTTGCCTCCCATGCATGAGGCCCTGGGTTCAATTCCTCAGCACCACATAAACTGAAAAAAGCTGGAAGTGGTGCTGTGGTTCAAGTGGTAGAGCACTAGCCTTGAGCTGAAGAGCTCAGGGACAGTGCCCAGGCCCAGAGTTCAAGCCCCACAACAGACAAAAACAAAAAGAAAAAAAAGTGAATATTCCTTTCTTGGCTGTTCCCTAGAGCACCAGAAGTGCCTGGACAAACTGCTCAATAATTGCCTACTGAATTGTACCATGCAAGAGCTAATTGGCTTATATATTACCATGGAAGAGTACTTCATGAGGGAGACTGTTAATAAGGTAGGACACAGAACACATCTCTTACAAATGAGGCTGCCATCTAAGAAACCAAGTTGAAGGAAATGATTGAGGCTTGTCATGTTTCTTGATTCTGCTCTGAAAATATCTGCATGCATGCATGCAGACTGCGAGGCATTGCTTTATACAGTAAGAGGAGTCTTTGGAGTTATCATACTTTGCATATACTTCTAGCATTTGCATAGACGTCTAGCATTACAATAAAACCAGCTCAGCTCCCCATAGAATCTACTTGTTCCCTGCTTCCACCTCCCTATAGGTATGTGGATGAGGAGTCTCTCTTAGTGTGTGTGGCCTCTCCTATGTCCAGCCTCCTAAGTAATGGATGTTCCCAGGGCTAAGGCCTTAAATATTAAATTTCCTAATGTAGTGTTCAGTAGAGGCTAGAATAAGCCATGTAAGGAAAAATATGGGAAAGGTATAGAAAAAGGTGCAGAACCAGGACCAGTGAACCAAAACCATGTAGAATGTGTAGAACTAGAATGTTTACTGAGTATTTTACCTTTGGATAGGCTGTGGCCCTGGATACCTATGAGAAGGGCCAGTTGACATCCAGCATGGTGGATGATGTCTTCTACATCATTAAGAAGTGCATTGGGCGGGCTCTCTCCAGCTCTAGCATCGACTGTCTCTGTGCTATGATCAACCTCGCCACCACTGAACTGGAGGATTACTTCAAGTATGGCTGATTGGCTTTCTAGGCCCAAAGGTCTTAGTTATAGTTGATTCCTGTGACCCATTTGTTTCTTCTCTTTTTGCTTATGATTTTTTTTTAAGTTTATCAGGATTTGTTTTAGTAATAAATGGTAAAGATGGGGAGAAATGGGAGAAACATTTCCTGCTCCCCATGCAGAAATGGGAATTAAAGATACTGCTTATGATTCACTACACCTCCTCCTTAAACACTAGTTGGATATAGTGGTACATGCCTGCCATTCTGTCTTATGTGGGATCAGGATGATCATAGTTCTAGGCGAACCCAGGCAGGAAAAAATAAAAGTCCATAAGAATCCATCTCAGTGGGAAAAACTGTGGACACATGGCCTGTCATGACAGCTACCACAGAAAGCCTAAAATAGGTGGATCATGGTCCAGGCATTCTTCTTGGCAGGAAATAAGACCCTATCTCAAAAATAAGTGCAATAAAGGCCTGGAGCCATGGCTTAGCAGTAGAGCACATGGCTAGCAAGCATGAGGCTCTGAGTTCAAACCCCAGTATCCCTCACCAAAAACCTTGCCATTCTCCTCTATATATACTTATCTTAGTGTTCTTGAGGGAGCATTGCTCACTGTCATACCCAGGCTCCTGAGAGGTGTCCTACAGTGGTCTCTAGGATTGGTTATCTCCCCCAAAAGAGCAACTGGAGCAGCTAGAGCACAGAGAGGGTGCTTAGCCCTGCTGTCCAAAAGCCAGGTTGAGCATTATCACTCTACATGTGTCATCCTGCCCCCCCAGGAATGTTCTGCATAACAAGCTACGGATGGGCTTCCCAGCCACCACCTTACAGGACATCCAGCGCGGGGTGACCAGTGCTGTGAACATCATGCACAGCAGCCTTCAGCAGGGAAAATTTGACACCAAAGGCATCGAGAGCACTGACGAGGCCAAACTGTCCTTCCTGGTAGGTGGCCCCACAGGTTGGAGTTGGGTTTCTCTAGACAAGTTAAGCTGTGGACTGGATAGGTCAGCTTTGAGCATTTGCCTGGCAGGCATAAGGTCCTGCATTCAATCCCCAGCTGCAGAGAGGTTAAATTATGACCTCTAAGCCACGCTGTAAGAAGTTCCTCCTAGAAGGTTCTACCACCCTTTCTTACCTAGGAACCTATTCTGAGTAGCCAGAGCCAGGAGATGCACTTGTCCCTGCAAGAAGCTAAGGCTCCTCAGCTTTCCTGAGTGCTTCTTCCTAAGACCTCTACCCAGCTGTTCAAGGGCTCCTCAGTATTTGGCTTGTCAAGCAACTGCCACAAGACCAAACTGTAACATCTATACCAAGCCTTCATACTGCTTCTGTAAGGAAAGGTCCAGGGTATTGGTGGTTGTCAATCCTTTAGGCCTATCAAGACTAGTTTTCTGTCACGTTCTTCTGGAAGGAGTCTCTACTGAAGACCTTAGCACTGGGCGTGGTAGCCCACCCATAAAGGGCAACTCTGGGCATGGGCGCTGTCCCTCAGCTCTTCAGCTCAAGGCAAGCACTCTACCAGTTGAGCCACAGCACCACTTCTGGTTTTCTGGTGGTTTATTGGAGATAAGATTCTCACGGAGGCTGGGCGCTGGTGGCTCACGCCTGTAATCCTAGCTACTCAGGAGGCTGAGATCTGAGGATCGCGGTTCAAAGCCAGCCTGGCCAAGAGAGACCGTGAGACTCCTATCTCCAATAAACCACCAGAAAACCGGAAGTGGCACTGTAGCTCAAGTGGTAGAGCACTTGCCTTGAGCTGAAGAGCTAAGGGACAACGCCCAGGCCCAGAGTTCAAGCCCCACGACCGACAAAAAAAAAAAAAAAAAAAAGATTCTCACGGAGTTTCCTGCCCGGTCTGGCTTTGAAATATGATCCTCAGATCTCAGCCTCCTGAGTAACTAGGATTACAGGTGTGAGCCACCAGCACCCAGCTGTCACATACTTTCTTGACATGAAGGGAACAGTGCTGTCACAGGCTTATTGTACTCCATCCTTCACACTGACTAAACTCTCAGTTTAGCTCCTAAAGTTCAGAGGCTAGAAGAACCATCCAATAACAGGACTTAAGCAACAGTCCACAGAGTATATACATTTTTCTAGAAGAAATCCTTAGCTTCTATCAGATTCTTACAGCCAACTGTTCTGGCTGTTGTTTTCGGAGCCAAGGTTACTAATATCTCATCTGCAAGCAGGGGAACCACAGTAGCCCTTAAATAGATCCAATATGAAGGCTGCTTCAGTGAAGCCACTATCTTCCTGGCATTAAAAATGCTTTCCTTGGGCATGAGTTCTATCCATCTGGGATAATTTTCTCCCCACCAAAAAGGAAAATCAGCTCCAAGAACTGTTTGCCTCTGAAATGTGGTACCTTTGGAGAACTCTGACAAAATTTCCGGCATCATATGATGATGAACTGACAAACTTTTTTATTTTGTTTACATTTTTCCCTCATTTCTGTGCTCAGAAGCTTTCATTGGCTTCTTGCAACCTACCATATCAAAGCTAAATATCTTTGCTTGGTTGGTTTTGTGTGTGTATGTGTGTGCATGCATGTACATACACATCCTAGGACTTGAGCTCAGGGCATGAATGCTGTCCCAGGGCTTTTTTTTTTTTTTTTTTTTTTGCTCAAGGCTAGTACTCTACTACTTGAGCCACATCTCCACTTCTGGCTTTTTGGTTAGTTGATTGGAGGTACAAGACTCACAGAGTTTCCAGCCCAACCTGACTTTGAACCACAGTCCTCAGATCTTAGCCTCCTGAGTAGCTAAGATTACAGGCAGGAGCCACCAGCACCAAGCAATTTGGTTGTCCTCTAAGTCCTCCTAAACCTTCTCCCTTCCTGTTTTCCATCCAGTCCTGTTTTCTACCACTGGATCCACCCATGTCCACAAGGCTGGCCAGTGTGCCTTTGCTTAATTTGTTGGTCCATTAGGGTCCTCCATTCAGAAGGTTTCATTGTTGGAAGGAATAGAAGCTATATCCAAAAAGAAAAGTGATGCTAAATACTTGGTGACAAGATTTCTAGTTTTCCTAATACCAAGCACTTAAAATGTCATCTCTCCCAACACATGGTCTATTTTATGACATTTTGATTCCTTTGGCTGTCAAGATAACTTCGCCAACTGTACTGACAAATCATTTGCCAGAAGCAGGGAATAAGCCCAATGAGTCCATGCTTACAAGGACTGTCAATACAAGGGAAACTTTGAAATCAATACCATTTGAACCCAATCCATTTTTTCCTCCTGACAACTATTCTTAGTGCCCTAAGTGCCTTGGAAACATTTATGTTGCAGCCTTCATCCTTCTGCAGTTATGACAGTGCAGTTATTTCCCTGGAAACTTGTGATGTTTGCTGGTTTTTATGTGCCATCTTTAGCTTTACCCATCTGCACTCAGTAACTAAGCAGCACCAAGAGCAGCATGATTCTTCAACATTGACTGTGGGATGCCAGCATGAGATCTGAGCATCCCACCTAATCACAGTGATGCGGGCTTTTGTGAGCCGAGTCTAGCCAGCCGTAGTCTGACCCACAGGGAATGCAACTATCAGCCAATCTGGCCATTGGAGTAGACAGCGTACCCAGTAAGTAGGATGTCATGTTCTTCCTTCCTCATCTCTCAGGTGACTCTGAACAACGTGGAAGTCTGCAGTGAAAACATCTCCACTCTCAAGAAGACTCTGGAGGTACAGGGGAAATTGTCTATGAGCTTTCAGCAGCTGTAGCCACCCAGTGTGAGAGAGAGCCCTATGAACCATGCCGGTGGGGACAGATGCACTCCCTGACATATAGCCATACTTGCTGGGTTTCATTGTGATTGATATGGTAGAAAGGCCTCTATGGATCTGTGAGGAAAGCTCCAGCACAGGAGTTGGGAAGTCAGAATTCAAATCATATCATCTAACACATAGTGTTGGCATGTGACATTTGGCAAGTTCTATAACTCCCTGAGGCTCAGTTTTCTCATCTATAAAATGAGATACAGATCTCCACTCAGCCCTATTTTTGGTTTTTGGGTGCTCTAATGAAAACAGGGTTGAAAAGTTGATTTTTAAAAGTTCTTTTTAGAATCAACAGTACGACTACTCAGAACAGTTAAAATTTTTGTTTTTATAAACCTAGAGAATATTCATTATGACATAAGTTAAATTACTGTGCTTTAAGTAATGTAACATAGTTCTTTCATAATATACAGTTAACTTGTTAGATTTATTTTACTTCTGAATTCTAGAAATTACTTCATTTTATTTCAAAATTTTCAAGTACATAAAACATGGAATAGTAAAAATCTAGCTTCAGTCTTTGTCCTTTGCACCCTGTTTCTTCATTTGTAATCATTTAAAGTGGATGGCTTTTAATAAAAATTTGTTTTAACAAATTACTTGATTTGTCAGGCGTCAGTGGCTCGTGCCTATAAGACTAGCTACTTAGGAGGTTGAGATCTGAGGATCACAGTTCAAAGCCAGCCCAGACAGGAAACTCCATGAGACTCTTATCTCCAGTAAAACCACTCAGAAAACCAGAAGTGGTGCTATGGCTCAGGTGGTAGATCCCTTGCCTTGAGCTGAAGAGCTGAGGGACAGAGCCCAGGCCCAGAGTTCAAGCCCCATGACCGACAAAAAAAAATTATTTGATTTGGGCTGGGCATGTAAACCAGTAGTAGAACACTTGCTCAACATGTACAAGGTTGTTGATTCAGTCCCCAACACTCACTGCAAAAAAATAAAAACAAATGGAAAAGTACTTTTTATAACAAAGCCCTCTATAAATGTAAGAAATTAGATAAAGTTCACCAAACCTTGCACAAAGTCAGTTGCTATGTTAGTTTTGGTTTTTGGTCTTTGTTGTTGTTCCTTTAGTACGTACCAGGACTTGAACTCAGGGCCTCACACTTGCTTGGCTAACTTGCTCTGCTGGTATTCTACCACTTGAGCCATGCTTCCAGCTCAAATCTCCACTTGATATAGATGCATTCAGTTGTCTAAAGCCATGTTCTCCCCTAGAGTGACTGCACCAAGCTCTTCAGCCAGGGCATTGGAGGAGAGCAGGCTCAGGCCAAGTTTGACAGCTGCCTTTCTGAGTTGGCTGCAGTGTCCAACAAATTCCGAGACCTTTTGCAGGTAAGCCCCAGGTTGAGCTGCTACCTGGAGGTGACTGGTTTACCATGGCCTCCATGGAGCACAGGAGGAAGGAGAAACATGTAAGCCACCGAGTTATATAAATCCCTTGAAACTAAAGGTTTTTCAGCAGCATAGTTGTCAGATTGACAAACCAGGATCTGACCAATCTCCACTTGGCCCCCAAATGGCAAGAGTGTTCAGAAAGATGCTCAGAAGAAATGAACAGTGTGGTTACCTGTTCTTGACCTTAATCCCAGGTACTGCCCAGCACCAGACACTATGGAATCTTTTCAGAGCTAGGATAATCTCACGACTCATCTGGTCCTGAATCTTCATAGTTGTGTAAAAGATTATCTGGCCTCTATTAATATGATTCCCTTCTCTGCTTCCCACAGGGCCTGTAGAGAACCTCAGCTTCGATAGGACCCTGCAGTTGAGGGAGGGGTGGGTTTGTGTCTGATTGTCTCTGTGCTGTCCTACAGGAAGGGCTGACGGAGCTCAACACCACAGCAGTCAAGCCACAGGTTCAGCCTTGGATCAACACCTTTCTCTCCGTCTCTCATAACATCGAGGAGGTCAGCTAACAGCTACAAGCTCAGTCTTCCTCAGCCCCCAAATCCAAGGAGGGCAGTGGGATCATGGGAAGAGACTAGACCTTACATGCTGCCCAGCTCACGTTCCTCTCCATCAAAGACTAGGTGCCTCCCAGGAAATGGTTGGCTTTAGTCAGAAGAGCTCAAAGAGACATGTGACAAGAGTTTGCCTTGACCTGACTCATCTTATATCAAGGCTCTTGTTAGCCCACTTTACAGAGACTTAGGAGCTTTCTTTCCCTGACCTAGTGAGTCACCCCTGTACAGCATAAACTGCAAGAGGGAACACATGGCCAGGAACCTTGCCCCAGTGTGTGCGGCTGCTGCCCCCCAGAACTGCTTGCTGGGTAGAGGTACAGTGCCCTAGCAGTTACTGCCAGCCTGGAGCCCAAGCTAGTTTTAAACTGGTGGTGTCAAAAGCTAATGGGAGGAATGACCTCTTAAATCATTTGCCTGAAAGAGCTGAGGTAGGTGGAGGTAATGATAACTAGGAAGAAAGAAGCTCCTGGTAATTCCCCCCTTGCTTTCTGAAAATAGGAAGAATTCAATGACTATGAGGCCAATGACCCCTGGGTACAGCAATTCATCCTAAACCTGGAGCAGCAAATGGCAGAATTCAAGGTGAGCAGGTACTTGTGGAATTACCGTCTCTGCCCCTACCAGCAGCCTGTGGCTATTCATTATAGCTCTAAGACTGCAAAAACCCCACCACACCCCAACCTCTGAAACACTCCTCATGACCCACATCCCTGTCCCCTGCCACTGAGGACTGCAGTGTAGAGGTAGAGGGGCTTGGAGGGACCTCCACTGATGTCAAGCCTCTATGCAGGCCAACCTGTCTCCAGTCATCTATGACAGCCTGACCGGCCTCATGACGAGCCTTGTCGCCGTCGAGCTGGAGAAAGTGGTGCTGAAATCCACCTTCAATCGGGTAAGGGCAAAGGGGTAAGCCTGAGGAAGACAAGTCATGCCACCCTAGGATTTGTGTCCTCTCTACTACTTGTAGGCCTTGCATATCCTCACCCAGTCCTGTCCTGGCTTTTGAGACACTAGAACAAACTAGAGCCACAGGGTACCACCTGAGGCCAAAATACCCTTGCCTTGCAGGTCTTCTGGTCACAAGGCAAGGCTTTATTAAAAATAACAGTTTAAGGGGCTGGGAAGGTGGCTCAGTGATAGAGCGCTTGCCTTGCATGCATGAGGCCCTGGGTTCGATTCCTCAGCACCACATAAGCAAAAAAAGCCGGAAGTGGCACTGTGTGGCTCAAGTGGTACAGTGCTTGCCTTGAGCTGAAGAGCTGAGGGACAGCGCCCAGACCCAGAGTTCAGGCCCTACAACCAGCAAAAAGAAAAAGAAAAAAAAAGTGTTTAAATAGGGCTTGTGTTTTCCCATAGCTGGGTGGTCTGCAGTTTGACAAGGAGCTGAGGTCACTCATTGCTTATCTGACAACTGTGACAACTTGGACTATCCGAGACAAGTTTGCCCGGCTTTCCCAGATGGCTACGATCCTCAATCTGGAGCGGGTATGTGGGGCACCCTCAGCATAGCCAGGGAAAGGTGACTGGAAAAATGCAAAGGAACCCTGCAACTCCCTCATGCCCACTAGCAATCCAGCTCCGCAGGGCACCTTCTCCCTTCCCTCAGGATAGTCCCTGCCCTGCTGACTGGTTTCTGTTCTTCCTCACAGGTGACAGAGATTCTAGATTACTGGGGTGCCAACTCTGGCCCTTTGACTTGGCGCCTCACTCCTGCTGAAGTGCGCCAAGTGCTGGCTCTGCGCATAGATTTCCGCAGTGAGGACATTAAGAGGCTGCGCCTGTAGATGATAGGGGGAGTCCACCTGGCCCTTCAAACCTCAGGGCCTACTCCCTGAGTAGCTGCAGACAAACAGGTGAGCTGACAGCACAGACTGTACCACTGCCGAGAGCCAGAAACAAGGCCTGGCCACCCTCAGACCTGACTGGGTGGGACTTTAGAACAACCTGTCCCCATTGAGAGAAGTGGGAGAGCCAGAGCAGACAGCAGACAGCCGTCAGCGTCCCAGCCACTGGGCCTTCTCACTCTCACACTACAGCAATGGCACTGCCCCTGCCAGCCTTGGAGAGCATCCGGGGACTTGGGAATTGGGTTTCACTTCAAGGCAAGGTTGATGCTAATGAATAAACATCAGAATAAGACACTGCTTGGAAAGGCCTGTGTGCTGATTCCAGTGAGGGCTAGCTGCCCCGGGGCAGGGTGATACCAGTGCCACTGAAACATGGAGTCAAATGCTGGAGACCTCAGCTTCCTCCTGCACCTAGGGTAGTGCCCATCCACATCCAGGACCCATATAACATGAACCTTCATCAGAAGCTGGATCACCCCAGGGCCGGCATCACTCCTGGCAGAGAGAAAGCTTTCTAAGGACAGCCTTGAAGGGCAGAGTTGAGTTTATTCCACGCATGTCAGTGTTGAAAACTTACTGCACACAGGGTCACTGTCCATAGTGTTGGCATAGTAAAGGTGTAGGTTGGCAAGGATTTACCAGTAAATGGAATGGAACCCACGCCCACAACCGCTCATTCCAGCTGAGGAGAGTGGAGCATGGAGACCCTAAAACTCTTAAGGCAGGCCTCTAGGGTCACCTTACCGAGGGACCCTATGGCTGGTTGCCATCGTGTTCTTTTAGGCCTTAGCGGAGAGAGGAGTGCGCTGGGCCACAGTCCTTTAGAAAGGCTACATGGATACTGAGCTTACGGTCTTCCTCAGTCCGCTCCACAGAGTCTACAGTCCTCTCCACTGCCTTGCTTGTCCTGTGTCTTGCTTCCTCTGTGAGCAGACCCAAAGAGGTAGGTGGGAAGTAGCAGGCTGGGTGCTCCCACAGAAGGGAAAGCTGGCTGTAGCGTTATTTCTTGCCTGCTTCAGAAGGCCCAAGCCTCATGGAGATGGGTGTCAGGTGAAGGCTAACTCCCCAGCAGCTGCAGGCTCAGACCCTGCATGTCTACTTCCACCAGGTGGACGCTGTAGTTGCCAAGGCCCTGGATAGGACAGAAAATGTTTAGAGGGCTCTGAGCAAGTCTTAGGCCTCTTGGGGCAGCAAAGCCCAAAGGGCCTGCGTGCCTCCCCTAGTGAGTTGGAAAGCCACCTGGGGGCCTTTCCCTACTACTAACCCCATCACATACCTCAGTCTTGGCTAGCACAGCCTCTACAGCCTCCTTCTGCCGTGGCTCCTTGGTCAATACATAGAGAAAGCCCCCACCACCAGCCCCTGCCAGGCTCTGGCCATGCACGTAGGGGGCCAGGACATCCATCATTCTCCGCACAGCTAAGGGCTCAGAGCCTGGAGCCATGAGCTTCTTCTGCTCCCAGTAAGAAGTCAGGTACTGGCCCAGCAGAGGCAAGTTTCCTACAGTTGGCACAGAGAGGAATGTGATATTTGAACCAACACCTATCCATAGAGAAATGAAGTGGCAAGAGGCATTTCACTGTCAGGGTTTAGTCCAGGTCAACACTGGGTGGAAGCAATAATAAGGACCATAGTACAGGCCTGACGACTGATGTGTACAAAGTAGCCAACCCACACAGTGCCCAGCACAATATCAAAGTAGCCACATACTTGGAGCCACATACTGAAGGGGTTCAACATCCCGGCAACTCAAGCATAAGGCAGAGCCTCTTTCCTTGTCTGCTGCCCAGTAGGTGGCACTGGAGGACCTTTCTCGTGAAGCAGGCTCTGTCCCGACAAGTGGCCCCCACGTATGAAACCAAGGAGAGGACAGGAGGCTCCTAGGAGCCTATTATCTGGCTTGTGCCAAGCCTGCAAAAATCCCTGGCTGAAATAAGGCCTTCATTCCAAAGCCCTGACCTCTGCTGGAAGAAGCACCTCACCTTGGTGGAAGGCTTCAGCACATTCTTCAGCCTGTCTTACCAGGCTGTGGGCATTCTGAACGACAGCAGGCAGCCGGGCATACCAGCTCCTCAGTACATCCTGCAAGCAGAGCAGGGCAGATGCAGTGAGGATCAGGCCTTGCTGAGCTATCTGCCTCCCTCCTCACTCTGGGGCTGGGCTCACCTGTAGCAGATTCCGTGCCAGGCGGGTCTTGCCAGTGTACACTAGCAGCAGGTGGTCATTGAGCTTCTGGACAAAGCCCTTGGGCACAGTGATCTCTTCTACTTCCACCTTCAGTGGCAGCTGGGCCTGGGAGCGCCCCACTTTGATACCAGGCATTAGACCACCCACCTGGTCCTGCCAACCACCTCCTGTGAACCCACAGTGTTGTTACTGTTGAGACTTATCTGGTCCAATTTCACTCCCCCAGCCCAAGTTTATGATCCTGAGCCTCTGGCTGGGACAGCATCCCCCAACTCCAGCTGAAACAGGTGAGCTTTGCAGCTTCTGGCAGCAGACCAAAACCAGCAAGGCAGAGGAGCTGCAATCTGGGGCCAAGCTTGGCATTCACAAAGCCCAAGTTGCCTTGCAGACTAAATAGGTAATTGGAGCTGGAGTAAACCACACAAACTTCAACCCACCTAAGGTTATGCAGCCAGAGGAGCCAGAGGAAAGGGGATTGGACTTCCCTGTAGCCTACTGGTCCCCTGTGCCCTATCTTCTGCTTATATTAGAAATAAGCTGTATGGCTGGGGACTAGTGGCTTCTATCTGTAATCCTAGCTACTCAGGGGGCTGAGATCTGAGGATTGCAGTTCAAAGCCAGCCCGGGCAGGAAAGACCTTGAGATTTATTTCCAATTGACCGCCAGAAAACAAAGTGGAGCTGTGGCTCAAAATGGTAGAGTGTTACCCTTGAGCAAAAGAAACTCAGGGACAGCACCCAGGCCCTGACCCAAAAAAAAAAAAAAAAGATTTTTGGCATATCCCACTTTACTTGAAAGAGCTGTATACATCTTGCTTGCTCTGGCTGCTCTACATTGTACTCAGATTCCAAGGTGCCAGAGGCCAGAAGGAGAGAAACCTGGCACTAGGAGCATCCTATTAGATCATATCCTTGACTAGGCACCTTCTTGCTGCCCTACCATATGGCACGAAGAATGGGAGGGAGGAGGATACAGATGATACCCCAAAGGGGAAGCAAGTTGCCAGAAGGGCAGATTGAAGGTCCATCCTCCACTCCAAAGCCAGCTCTGCCCCCACAAGCTCTGAAGGGCAGCACGAAGGGGGACAGAATCATGAAAACAAGCCATTAGTGTCAACAGTGCCTTATACATATAAAGGTACAGCAACTTCAGAACTCAGTAGACATTTACAAGACTCTTGCCAGGTGTTGGTGGCTCACGCCTATAACCCTAGCTACTCAGGAGGCTGAGATCTGAGGATCATGGTTCAAACCCAACATAGGTAAGAAAGCCCATGAGACTCTTATTTCCAATTAGCCAGCAAAAACGCTGGAAGTAGTAGAGTGCTAGCCTTGAGCTAAAAAGCTAGGGACAGCACCCAGAACTTCAGTTCAAGCACCAATAAATAAATAAATAAATAAAAACACATAAGCTACTTCAAGATAGAACATTTTAAGTTGCAAATGACCAAAAGTCAAAGTGAAGCCAGGCGCCAGTGGTTTACATCTAGCTATTTAGGAGGCTGAGAGCTGAGGATCGTAGTTCAAAGCCAGCTCGGGCAGGAAAGTCTGTGAGACTCATCTCCAATTTACCACAGAAACTAGAAATGGAGCTGTGGCTCAAAATGGTAGAGCACTAGCCCTGAGGGGGGGAAAAAAAAAAAACCTCAGCCCTGAGTTCAAGCCCTATGACAGAGAAAAAAATAAGAAAGAAATACCATGCAAATCCAGGAGAAAAGCCCTTGGGAAAATACCAGCAACCTCTCCCCATCCCAAGCTCTCTTGTACCTGTGGTAAGCACCTGCTCCAAGTGCAGCACCGCGTGGATCAGGGCCTCTGTACTCACCAGCTGGCCTGCAGCCCGCTGCAGTGCAGCCAGTGCAGCGCCAGCCAGGATGCTGCTGGTTCCTACAGGGCACAGAAAGGAGTACCAGCCATGAACCATCTCTCCCCAGCCCATCTTACCCCACACCCCCTCTGCTGCACAGAGCGGGGTCACAGGTGAGACTGAAGAACTGGGACTGGACCCACTCACCAAGACCAGAGCCATGGGGAAGCTCAGACCAGGTGTGGAGCTCAAAGCCACCCCCAAAGTTGTGCAGCAGTTGCTCCTGCAAGGAGAGCTCAGAGCGGACATGTACAATCCCAGCACAGATAAAGGCTGCCTTCAGCAGTGCCCCTGCGGGGGGATAGGGTCAAAGCAAAGAATTTCCCCTCCTCAGACTCCACCTCAGCCCTCTACCCCCTGCAATTTCCCTGTCCAGGGTGCTATTTCATTGGGGGGGGAGGGGGGGGAAGCTCAGCATCATTGCAGGCCTCAAGCCACTAATGGACATCTAGACTCTCTAACACAAGCAAATGGGTCACTGCTTTTTCCTACGCCTGTTGGTGCATAGATGGGGTGAGTTCTACCCTTCTCTTTCTTTTGGGGCTCCTTAACTACTCTGGCTGGCTCTCAGGCCTCCATGACCTTCAATTCTTACCTGGAGCATGGGGTTGACAGTAATCCTGCAGGTCGTCCAGGCTCCGGCACACTATTTTCGTGGCCATCTCATCCTTCTGATGTCCCATGGCCAACCACAGCTCAGGCTCCGTGATACGGCGGGCCCTGGCCCCAATGGGGCGGCAGCCATCCACTCGCACAGCCAGGCCCAGAACTGCCCCACCAAACTCGTAGGCAATGGGTGGGGTGTCACTCCAGCCCCCTATGGCAGTTCAACAAGCTGGTCACACCACCTGCCAGCCTGAACCTTAGGGGACTGGGTAACCCACCCATCCCCATAGGGGTTCACCAGAGAAATCCACACGGGCTGGGCACTCAGCCATCACCCACTGCCCCGGTGCTGGCAGCTCTACTGGCTCCATGGAAACGAAGTGCTGAGCTGTCATCACCGCATGGCGGACCAGGATCTGTTCGGCCCCCTCATAATGGCGGGCAGCTCGCACCAGCAAGGCTGGCCTGCGGGGAGGGAAGGAAGCTAAAAACACACTGAGGGCCTGAGAGTGACCCGACCTCCTTCTGGGCTTCCACCATCAGGGGCCATGCCCCCCAGGGGGTTTCTCAATGCCATTCTGACTTCCATTAGCTACCCACCTGCTCAGCCACTTGTCCCTCTCCTGAGCAAGTGCCCTTACTCCCCGTGAAAGGTCTCCACACTCCAGGTATGAAAAGGGCCTCATCCACTCAGGGTTGGCAGCTGGACCACTCCGCAAGCCTCCCTGACCCTCTGCCATGCAGCCCAGCACATCAGCCACACAGGCCAGAGCCCGGGAGGCCACACCAGGGTCTTCCGCCCCAGCTGCAACTGAGGGACGAGAAATTAGGCAGGGAAGAGGGCCAGCCTCCAACCTCCAGTACTCCCCAAAACTACTCCAGACCCTTCACTCCCCTCAGCCTCTGCTTCCAGATGTACTCCTACATGTGAATGCACCCCCATTCTCTCTACACAGAAAATTTCTCATCCTGCCAAGCCCAGCTCAAATGTGTCCTTCACCCCTACCCAGGACAGGCTCTAGGACAATCATCTGCATTCAAGTCTCCTCTGTTTGTGTGGCTCTCTGGATGAGTGCCTTAAATAAAGTGGGGCTGAGAACGTGGTTTAGTGGTAGAGTGCTGGCCTAGCATGCATGAAGCCCTGGGTTTTATTCCTCAGTACCACATACACAGAAAAAGCCAGAAGTGGCACTGGGGTTCAATTGGTCTAGTGCTAGCCTGGAGGAAAAGAAGCTCAGGGACAGCACCCAGGTGCTGAGGTTAAGCCCCAGGACTGGCAAAAAAAAAAAAAAAAAATTAGAGATAACGTTCCACAGTTCTAGTATTCTGCAGAACCATTTATATCATGTTATTTGAGTCTAAGACTCTAAGCCCCCAGGTAGTATATGGATCCTTAGATGGATCTGCCCACATGCCATGGGGTCCTCCTGGAGCTCAGCACCCACACCCAGCACTCAATATAGAACACAGGTTTGTAGATGCTGCAGAGGACAAGAAGATCAGTAGCTAGGCCACACCCTCCCATCCCAACTTCCTGCTGACAGGGCAAAGCTTCCTCAGAAATCTAAAGCAAACTACAATGAGTCTCTCCCTTGCCTTAGTCCCTTGGCTGCCTAGTCCCCTCCGTTGATGGTCCAGGAGTCAGGGCTACCTGCCCTGCCTGCCTGCCTGCCTTCCTAGCATTAATGCCTAGCACACTCACCCTGGTCCAGCATGGCCAGCACATGTTTCGAGAAGCCCTCATGGACAGCAGCCCGAATCAGTGGGCGCAGGCAAAGGTCCTGCCTGGCTTCTAGCACATGCCTTGCCTTTTGCAAGGCCTGGTGAAAAAACAGGTCCCGACGTGAGGCCAGGGTGGCAGCACGGTCCAGGTGCGGCTGTAGCTGCTCCCAGGACAAGCGCCAGGAGACTCGCCAGGTCTGCAGGGCCTTGCCCCCATCGTCTTGGGGGTCCAACATCCACAGCATGTCCCTGGGCCCCAGGGCCCTCGAGGGATGAAGCACAGGAAAGAGGCGAGCGCTGAGAAGGTGACGCTCAGCGGGAGGCATGTCTGGGTCCCACAGGTCCCAATCTCTGAGGTGCACAGAGGTATGTTAGCAGCAGGAGAGAAGCCACGCCCACCCCCTCCCCAGGCCCCAACCAGCCTATCAATTCATGGGGACAAGACAAATTCCCCAAAGGCAGTACAGTGGGCCATATGGGGAAGGAAGCCATACTGCCTTGCCCAAAGTCAGCACACCCAAGGCTTTGAAGTTGCTCACATGGAAAGTTCCAGAAAGAATCCAGCTGTCCCAAACTACCCAGGACTTGATAGAAGGATAAAGAAGTAGGCAGGGCTGTTGTGAAGGCAGTGGCAGCGCTAAGTCTCAATGAGCCATGCTGGCTGGCTAAGGTGCCTGGGGGTCCAGTGGGACATAGGGCTTACCTAATACCTGTCTTCTTAAAGAAGTCACTCCAGGACATGTTGAGATAGGTGTCTATCTCTTGTCTCTAGGAGAAGATGAAGCAGTCAGTAATAACAGGTCCACAAGAAGGGATAAGGGACACTCGATGAGACTGGGAAACAGATCTTCCAGCAGGGACTGAACGAAACATGTACATACTGAAGCAACTTCTGAGACCATCTTCCCCTCCACCCCTAGCCCCGGGTATAAGTCCTGAGGCTTATACTTAGAGCTTGGGTGATGTCCCTGAGCTTCTTTTGCTCAAGGCTAGCACTCTACCACTTGAACTACAAAGCCACTTCTGGCTTTTTCTGAGTAAGATATAGGAGATTAGTCTCATAGACTTTCTTTCCCAGGCTGGCTTCAAACTTCAATCCTCAGATCTCAGCCTCCTAAGTAGCTAGGATTACAGCCATGAGCCACCAGCACCCAGCCTCTGAGACCCTCTTAGCACTCTTACCCAGGTACTTAGAATCTGGAGCAGAACCCTGAGTTCTAGGTCTGATCCACCATAAATTGCCAATGTGACCCATGCTAGGCCACCTCCCTATCAATCTTCAGCTTGTAAAATGGGCATAAAAATCCCCACCCAGTTTACCTCCAAGAACAGATGAAGGGCAGGGAGGCAAAGGCCTAATGGAGATCGCCCCAGCCACACCCTCCCATAGCCTAACCCTCAGTGCTCCCTACAGTGGGTGGAAGGCCAGACACCATGGGGGGGGGGAGGAGGGCCCAGCGTCTGAAGATTAGGATGAGGAAATGTAATGCCGGTGCCTACTTTCCAGCTGTCCAGACGGCCAACAAGGGTAAACACGTAGCTCAGGGAGCCATGCAGCCGCACATGGTGTCCCTGCAGGACAAGGTCACACAACTCCAAGCCACGCAGTGCTTCAGACTGGGCTGTATCCAAGCCACTCAAGAAGCAGCCAGTACCAATGTGAACGGGGCCCTGGTAGGAAGAAGGCAGGCATCCTGGGTGAGCAGACATCTACCACACACACACACACACACATACACACACACACACACACACACACACACACACAACTAACACATACAGAGTACTGGTCCCTCTTGCCTCCCCTCTCTTCCCCCATGCTGTCAGGCCTCACCTGCAGGTGGCAGTGCTGCAGGACACTCCCAGGCTCCAAGTGCACAGCACCCTCCAGCAGGCAGTTGACCACAGAGCACCCAGGCCTCAGAAACTGCGGCTCCTGTGAAACCAGGAGCGAAGATCATTAAGGGGCTGGGAAGGTGGCTTAGTGGTAGAGTGCTTGCCTAGCATGCATGAAGCCCTAGGTTCAATTCCTCAGTACCACATGAACAGAAAAAGCCGAAAGTGGTCTGTGGCTCAAGTGGTAGAGTGCTAGCCTTGAGTAAAAGAATCTTAGGGGGCTGGGAAGGTGCCTCAGTGGTAGAGCACTTGCCTTGCATGCCAGAGGCCCTGGGTTCGATTCCTCAGCACCACATAAGCAAAAAGAAAAAAGCCGGAAGTGGCACTGTGGCTCAAGTGGTAGAGCGCTCGCTTTGAGCTGAAGAGCTGAGGGGCAGCGCCCAGGCCTAGAGTTCAGACCCCATGACCGGACCCAAAAAAAAAAAAAGAATCTTAGGAACAGCGCCCAGGCCCTGAGTTCAAGCCCCAGGACTGGGGGAAAAAAAATCATTAAAGCTACAGGCCAGGGGCAGGGGCACCCAAATTCTCCCCTGTAACACAATATCTGCATGGGGAACATCAAGGCTCTGGATCTGCCCTGGCTCCAACCTGAACCCTATTTCCCCTCCCCTAACTATACCCCACTACTGCCACCCCAGAGTGACCTCTGAACCTTGCTGCCCTATTCCTCAGCTCCGTGGTGCTGAGCCAGGCCTACAGCTTCTCATGTCGCTGTAAACAGACCATGCAGAAAGGCCTTCCTCAATCAGGTAGACCTCAAAGGAAAATCCTGACTTGGCTACTTACTGGCTCTGTGGCCTTGGGCTAGTTACTTGTCTCTCTGGGCATCCAGTGCCTTGTGCATAAAATGGAAATAATAACATCTATACTCATAGGTTATCTGTTCCAAGTGTAGGCATTCCCTTCCCATAAGTCCACATCCTACCTGACCTCTGAGGGGAAGGCTGGTCTTACCTCTACCTGGGAGTGAACAATCTGGGCCTTAGGAACCACAGGCATTGTGAGGCTGAGCAGGAATTCACTGGTTGATGAGGTCAAGTAGCTGTAGCTACCATCAGGAACATACACTGGAAAAACACAAGCAGTGTGTCTTTATACCTGCTACTGCACCAGTACCAGACCAGGTGTCTCGCCCATAGATACATCCTCAGACACTACGAGAGCAAGTGTGACAATGAGCCTATCTGCAGACAGGAAAGCTGAGGTCCAGAGTGCCACCTCCCCAAAGCCCCACAGATAGCAAAATGGGCAGTCTGGGACTGGAGACCAGGAAAGAGACAAGAAGAAAACCCAAAGGAGAGAGAGGCATCTCAACAGGAGAGCTCATTCATGAGTCCATGAGCCAAACTGTTTGGCCCAAATGCCAAAGCAGTCTTATCTGGAGGTCCTCACCCCCATGGTGTCTCCATCCCACAGAGAGGACAGCAAATATTCACCCATGGTGAGGGGCTGACCACGAAGCTCCCTCCACAGCTGGGCCCGGGCACCTTGAAGATAACCTGCTACATCCATGTCACCTTGCCCCATCTCTGGGGGCTGACCAGCCAGGAAGTTCTCCCTGCTCACATTCCGAGCCATGCAGAGCAAGATGTCAAAAAACAGAGACAGCTAGGAGAGAAGGAAGAAGGCAAGTTGGGGGAAAACCGGGGAAATAAGGGTACGGGCTGGGCCTGCAATCCTGAAGCCAAGCCAGGATTGTTCTATCTGTAGAGATTCTTACCCAGAGAGAGTAAAGGTCTGACCTAAGATCACACAGCACCTCACTCCCAGTCAGGGTACCCCAAACACTTCCCAGCCCCCCCACCCCCCAAGTCACCTGGACAGGCCGGGCTCCAGAGTCCAAGCCCATGTAGGTACAGGCATCCAGAGGCGGACTCACGTGGGTGGCCAGAAGGTGCTCAGCAGTGTCCACGGAGAAGAAGACAATCCCAGAGACCTGGAGAGAGGCCCACCAGGGTAGGCGGGGGGGGGGGGGGGGGGGGGGGCGGGAACCCTAGGGTGAGGCCAAGCAAGGCCAGGCACCACACCACACCAGACCAGGGACGTTAGTTTTCCGAGTCACCTCAGCACCCAGACTCCAGGCTTATTTGGAACTGCTCCCACCAAGGCACCTTCTGGGTGGCCCTCCCCAACTCTCAGACCACCTCCAAAACCTGTTGTCCACCTTCCCCACAGTCCAGACCCAGAGTCTTTCCCAAAACTCCCCCCATCCCTGCCCGTCATTCTGGAAGCATCTTTAAGTGTGGTTCTGACTATCCCTTCCTCAGATTCTGGCTCCAGCTGCTCTTCTGAAAGCTCAATTCCAGACCTTCATTAGATCCTGATTCCAGCTCACCCTGGAATCTTCTAGAAGGAGTGGGGCTCTTCTCAAAATAAGGAAGGGAAACTTTCCCTCTCCTGTCCCCCCCCAAAAAAAAATTCCCAAAGACTTCAAAACCAGGCCCAGCATCCATACCAGCGGGACCTGCCCATCAGTCAGGACACACTGCTGGATCTCTGCTTCGGTGCCCTGGTAGAAAATGTCCAAAACAAAGCCCTGTGGGGAAGCGGAGGACAACAGAATTAGGGAAGAAAGCAAAAAGAGGACTTGCATGGCAGGTCAACAAGTGTTCCCCACTACAAACTCAAGATGCAAGTCACGCAGGCACCAGTGTAATCATGGGGACACAAGTGACTGAGACGTATGCCAGAAGGTTAAGAGCAAATTTTAATCACCTTACCACCTCGGCCTGAGCACAGGGCCTGGCATACAGTTGGCATGAAATGCACTTTTGGCAAGAGACTGAGTACCAGGGCTATTGCCATAAAGGCTACTTCTCAGATTCAAGACAATCATAGGAATATCCAGGATAAGAGGTTGCCCAGGGAGTGGAACTGGAAGGCCATCCAGCTCCAGGCCAGCTCAGCTGACCCCAGGAGACCCTACCTGTGCGTCAGTCAGGTAGACACCATGATTCACAGCATAGGCCGGGCTCCCAGGAAAAGCAATCACTCTGGCTCCCTGGAAGTCATCCCAGTTGATCCCTGTGAGTTAGTTCAGTCAGGGGACTGTCAGTCCCAGGGACCCTCCCTGCCCACAACCCAAGACAGGGAGCCCCAGCTATGAGGAGGTAAGAGCTCAGGGCTAGAGCATCCAGATACCTCTAAAAGGGAAATACATTTCCAAAGTCAATCACACATCCTCTGGGAGAATGATAGAACCACCTTTCCCAAGGCTCGCCCCACCCCACCCCCCAAGTCCTGGGGACAAAAGGTCAGGGTAGTTGTGTCCATTCTACAGATGGGCAGACAGAGTCCCAGCAGGGTCTGCCTCTTGGTCTGGGCTTCATTCTCCACATCCTGAACTTCCTTTCAGAACAGGACAATGGAGCCACCTAGGAACGGAGTAGGCTGGAAAGGCAGAGTGAGCCTGAACTGTGGTGAAGGAAGGTGGTCCAGGGTGTGTCAGGCTCACCGAGGTTTGAAGGAACAGACAAGAGCATGTCAGTGCTGCAGACCCACACGCCTGGTGGGGAGCCTGGGCCCAGCTGCAAGGGACGGGAGAGGGAGAGGGAAAAAGAGAGGGAGAGAGAGAGAGAGAGAGAATATGCAGCTGGTGGCCAGGCCCAGACTCTCCTCCTCTCCCTCACCTCCATATTGGCTTGTCATATTCCACCACCCACCTCATCCCAGGGGACTCTGCTGCTGAAGTATCAAGGACTCTGAAGTCAGGTGAGACAGAGGCTGCCCCCCCCCCTTCACTGCCCATCTGGGGCCACATCTTCCCACAAGATAACCAAGTCTAATTTATTGAAGCTCAGAGTAACCAGGCACCCAGAAAATGACTCTTCCTAGGAGCCGTGGTCTGAGTTGACCCTAGCTGATGGCGCAGTAGGGGAGAAGTGTCGGGCGGGGCGGGGATTGGATCCCTAGGGCCCCAGCCTGGCCTCACTTGGTGGGTCATGATGTCCAACAGGCAGTCCAGGTTGCAGACCAAGGCCTCCACAGGGGCCCGGAGGTTCTCCTTTGGGAGGCAGGTAAAGGCTCTGCCACAGTCATCGAAGGGGAAGTCTCGGCCCTGGGGTGGGAGCAGAGACTGTGAGGAAGCTCTTGGGACAAAGAAACTGGCTGGCTTCATCAGCTATGCAAAAGGTGCAAGGGTGGCAGGTGAGTAGAAGACATAGAAAACATGTCATCTTGTTGGTTTGCTATTGTTACAATGAACAAGACTACTGGGAAAACAGAAAATGCAGAGCACGTGACACACATCACTACTCAGAGGGCTGAGAAGAAATGCCTGTTTCAGGACAGCCTAGGATACATAGCAAAACCCTGTCTCAAAAAAAAAAAGCCAGGTGCCAGTCACTCACAATTATAATCCTAGCTATTCAGGAGGCTGAGATCTGAGGATCACAGTTCAAAGCCAGCCCAGGCAGAAAAGCCCATGAGACTCTTATCTCCAATAAACAACTAGAAAACCAGAAGTGGCGCTGTGGCTTAAAGTGGAAGAGCACTCTTCAGCTCAAGGACAGCGCCTAGGCCCAGAGTTCAAGCCCCAAGATTGATTCTGTTTTCCCAATGAACACTGTATGCACACAATGGTAGAATATCCCTAAAGGTAGAACCAGAGTTGTATGGCCCATGCCACAAATTCCACCTACCATGTGCAGTATGAGGATCCAGGCTGAGTGCAGGACATCAGATGTGACCACCTGTCAGGAGCAGGAGGGCCTCATCAGACAAGTACCCCCAGTCTAAGGAGAGACCCCAACACTAACCTTCTCAGGTACCAAAAAGTCAAGATCAAGATCAATGGCCACAGACAGACAAGAGACAGGACTGGCTCCATCCTGAGTAAAGGAGACCAGAAGTCCTGCACCCAGGCACTTCCCTGCCTGTTTGGAAGGAGGTTGCAGGCAACAGTTCAAGGCCAGCTAGTGATGGGGGATGTCCGCTCCAGTGCAACCACACAGTGTTCCAACACCAGCAAGTGCCTATGCCCACCCCCCAGACTCCATACAGGTGGTATGCAGGCAAGGGGGTGGAGAGAAGGGGCTGCATATGCATGGGATGTGGCCCAGGGGGGACCTTGACTCCTATATCCTGCCCAAAGGGTAAGCCACACTTCAGTCCCAATGGTCAGGTGCATAGAACAAGAGCCCAAACTAGTAAAATCTTTGAGTTCCTCAGGAGAAGCCAAGAGGCTTTGCCATGGGGATAATGGCTCCAATTTTCTAAAAACACTACCAACACTACAGAGATAAAAGTCTGCCCGATTCACAGATCTAACACCTCAAGCCAAATGCTGAACCAGCTAGGGTGACAGACTCAGAAGGACTGGAGATTTTGTAAACTAGTTAGTTCCAATAGGGGCCTGAGCCCGAGGGCCAGCGAGAGCACTCACAGTAAAGCCTGCACGGGCACTCAGGTGTTCCGCAGCCACCAACAGTGCATTGAGGGTGGCTCCTCCGCTGCCCACGCGAATCTCAGGATCCTCCACGGCCAGTAACAGTGTCCCAGCAGGGATCTGCTCCCGTTTTTGCCGCACCTCCAGCTCTGTGTTTAAAACCTGTGCTCAGAAAACCTCCCTCCAGCCCCACACCCCTCTGGCCTCCCTGCCTTGGTTCAGAGGACCTAAATAAGCCTAATCATCATGATTTGGGCTGGGAAGGTGGCTCAGTGGTAGAGCATTGCCTTGCATGCATGAGGCCCTGGGTTTGATTCCTCCACACCACATAAGCAGAAAAAGCCGAAAGTGGTGCTATGGCTCAAATGGTAGAGCCCTAGTTTTGAGCTGAATTGCTCAGGTACAGCACCCAGGCCCAGGGTTCAGGCCCCATGAATGACAAAAATACAATAAAATAAATAATCATCATGATTTGATTTCTCTGACTTCATTTCTCATACAGCACTAATTAGATCTTTACCTGACTCTGTGAGGTAAAGTATGCTTATCCCCATTTTACAGATAAGAAGAAAACTAAAGCACAATGAACTGATATGCTATATATGAAATCACAAGGCAGGAAGAAATGAAGAGTCTGAGTTTCAAGCTAAGTCCACCAAGTTCCTGGGGCTGAAGGGGTCTGGTGGAGGAGGGGAGGCTGGGAAGTTCTAGTTTAAGGGCAAGGCAGGAAGAGGGACCATTTACCTCTCTGAAAGACCTGGACACTGTCCTTGTACTGACATGTCAGAATGATGACTGTCCAGTCAACCCCCTTTCGCTGGTCCATTCTGGTCAAAAATGGAGGAGCGTCCTATGATAGCAACATGTGGGTAACATGAATACTTTTTAAATTGTCACATACAAAAGTTAATTGTTTCTGTTATATCATTCTATAATTTTAATAATACAAGTATTGATTTTAAAAAATTGTCAATGGTGGGACTTGAACTCAGGCCATGGGCACTGTCCCTTGATCATTTTCACTCAAGGCTAGCACTCTCTACCACTTGGAGCCATAGTGCTACTTCTAGTTTTCTGGTGGTTAATGGGAGATAAATCTCTCAGATATTTTCTACCTAGACTGGCTTTGAACCTTGATCCTCAGATCTCACCTTCCTGAGAAGCTAGGATTACAGACATGAGCTACCAGCACCCAGCTTTTTTTTGGTGTTTCTTCTATATAGCTCTTCTACAAATCAAATAAAAATGAAAAAATTATTACCTATGTGAGAGTAATCAGAGATTATAGTGCAAACATTCAAGTATGTATTCTTACACCAACTACAACTACCACCTATACTTTAAAAAAGGGTCATGCTATGACTTTTTTGTTTAGTTTTTTTAAGGTCCTATGGTTTGAATTCAGAGCCTTTGCTTGCTTGGCAAATGTTCTACCACTTCAGCCATGCCTCTAGATCTTTTTGCTTTAGTTTTTTTTTTTGTCCATCTGGGCTTGGGCGCTGTCCCTCAGCTCTTCAGCTCAAGGCGAGCGCTCTACCACTTGAGCTACAGTACCACTTCCAGTTTTCTAGTGGTTTATTGGAGATAGGATTCTCACGGTCTTTCCTGCCTGGGCTGGCTTTGAACCGTGATCCTCAGATCTCAGCCTCCTGAGTAGCTAGGATTACAAGCGTGAGCCACCGGCGCCCAGCTTGCTTTAGTTTTTCAGCTAAGGTCTCAAGTGTTTACCTGAGCTGGCTTTAGACTAAGATCCTACTATCTCAGCTTCCTGTTCAGCCAAGACTAGTTTCACCACACTCAGTTTGTTTTGTTGTTGTTGTTTAAGACAAGGCCTCACTAACTTTTTTTTTTTTTGGTCAGGACTTGAACTCTGGGCCTGGGTGCTGTACCTGAGCTCTTCAGCTCAAGGCTAGCATTCTACCTCTAGAGCCAAAGAGCCACTTCTGATTTTCTGGTGGTTAACTGGAGATAAGAGTCTCACGGACTTTCCTGCCTGGGCTGGCTTTGAACCCCGATCCTCAGATCTCACCTCTTGAGTAGCTAGGATTACAGACATGAGCTACCAGTGACCGGCTTAACTTTCCTTTTTTTAGCCAGAGTTTGCCTCAAACCCTGATACCACCATCTTCACTTCCCATGTAGCTATGATTACAGGCATGGGCCAATACACCTAGTCCTCATGCTATGGATTTTCAATCCACTTGCAACTATTGATATGTTTTATATATAAATATATAATATAAATATATAATATATTAAGTCATGTAACTAAAATATAAGCTATTGAGATTAGCTTCTTTCCTCCAACACAATACCTCTGAGGTGAATCCAAGTCACTGGGCATATTAATAGCCTGGTGCTTTTCTTGCTAAGAGATCTTTTCAGACATAGAAATGTACCATGCAGTTTCACCTTTCACTCATGGAGCAAGAGTTGGACTTTGTCATTTGGGGAAATCAAGAATAAAGCTGTTATAAATCTTCAGGTAGTTAGCAAGCTATGGTAGTTCATTTCTGTAATCCCAGGTACTTAGGGGACAGAAATAAGGAGAGTCATGGTCAGAGGCCAGGGCAGGCAAAAAGTTAGTAAGAACCCCATCGCAATAAACATTCCAAGGATCAAGATGCATACCTAGGATTCCAGCTGCCCAAGAGGTATAGTAGGAGGATCATGGTTAGACTTATACATGCCACTGGCTGTCCAAGGTCATTCACATCTAGTACCGACCGGTGTGTCCAACTCCAGTGTTCCTGCTATTGGTTTTGTTTGGATTGTTTTGTTTTGGGGTTGTTTAGCTTAGTTTTGAGGTCTTGCTATGTAATTCAGGCTGGCCTCTGCCTCCTGAGTGCTGGGATTACAGGTGAACACCCCTGCACCTGACGTTTTGAAGAGAAATGAGCAAAAGTGGTAGACAGCGCTAGCCTCAAGCTGAAGAGCTCAGGGTCAGAGCCCAGGCCCAGAGATCAAGCCCCAGGACCGACAAACTCAACCTCAAGGAAGCCTTGGTTTGCCACCTTCTGGAAAACACTTAGAAAGACGTGGATGGAGAGTAAAATCAGTTCGTACATTACACCAACAGTACGCGGTTGCAATTCATGCAGAATGAGAAGCCCCGATGAGGTAAACTGAGGAAGGAAGTGACCTGAAAGCAAACTCAGACCAGCGCCGGCACCCTTGGGGGCGAGGGTCCCGTCCCTCCGCGTCCCGCACCGCACCGGTGCACCCGGGCTCCCGCAGCAAGACCCAAGTCCAGGGGAGGCGGAAGTCCCCGACGGCAAGTGGGCCATCGGGGGAGGGGGAGGCGCTGGCAGGGCTCCCCGAAACTCTTCCGTGTGAGGACTCGTGCACGCTGAGGGCCTGGAGGACGGCGCGGCCCCTGGCAGAGGAGTTGAGAAGCAGCGGATAAGCCAGCAGACCCCCACGTACCTGCGGCCGCCGGGCGCTCGCGGGGCGGGCTCTTTAAGACGGGCTGCGTGGCCCGCGCGGTGCGCCCTGGGAAATGTAGTCCATCGGGCTTCCTCCTCGTGGGGTCCGCCCACCCCAGGAGACGCCCCGCGTGGGGAAAGAAAACCAGGTCCGTGGATAAAAGCAGCTCCGTGGATAAAAGCAGCTCCGTGGATAAAAGCAGCTCCGTGGATCCGCCGTTTTTCTAATCAGAATTTTTAAAAAATCAGCTACGTGGGGCTGACAGTTGCCATGCTTTCCCGGGTTTAATCACATGAATCTTTCTGGAAGAAACTTTTCCCAAGTCTGCAGTTGGCAGAGCATCAGCGGAGCCCTGTATGGCTGACTAGTGAATGGCAACGATGTAGACGGAAATTGGAAACACTAGCTAAGGTCACCCAGCTGAGGTCCTGGAAACTAAACCAAGCACAGCTATGCAATGGCTCATTACACCGCAGGGAGCTAGAACTCAGCAGCCAACATGTACACTGGGGAGCCAGATTCGAGATACTTTGTTAGGGGGAAAGAAGCAAGTTGTAATGAAAGGCCCCCAGTTTGTGCTTGGCCACTAGGTACCCCAGAAAACTGCTGACCATCCCCTGCGAGCTTGTGTATGAGAAAACCATGGGTGAAAAAGTACCGAAGAGGGCGAGGCAGGACGTTGCAGTTAACTGTTAACCGGAGATAGGGAACAGAGAGTCTCTGAGCTAACAACTGAAGGGCAAGTACAGACACCTCAGCTAACTGCCTGTGGAAAGTCCCACCGCCAACCCCGAGTGGACTCCGCCTGACCCCATCGCCTGACTTAAACTCACCAATCCCTACCCAAAGCATGATTTGAAATTAGCCAAACCCCACCCTATAACCATGCATCTCGCTTCTGTAACCTTGCTTCCAGCTGCCCAGAAAGTCTCCCGATAGACTTTGTCGCCCCGGGTACCCGTGTGTCCGAACAGGTTCCCAGCCACCGACCCGAACCTTGTGGATCTCGAGGTCGCGTGCACCTGGGAGCCTGGCATGCCCAAATAAACCTCTTGCTGTTTGCATCCGTACAAGTGGTCTCGTTGTTCCTTGGGAGAGGGTCTCTCCAGATCGAAGGGCACCCCGAACACTGGGGGTCTTCCATTCTGGGGGCTCGTCTGGGATAGAGACCCCTACCCAGGGACCACCGACCCATTTCCGGGAGGTAAGCTGGCCAGCGTCTATGTATTGTCTTCCGTTAAGTTGTGTGATTAATTATTGTGCGCTTGCGATTCTGTGAGTCGGCCGTACTCGTCTGATTCTGGCGGACCCGAGGAGGAGCTGACGGGCTCGTACTCCCGACCGCAGCCCCCAGGAGACGTCCTGGAGGCATCCGGGGCCTGAAAAAGTGGCCCATCTGTTCTCTGGAACCCGGTCCTTTTGGACGCGTGGTTCGTCTGGGAGACGAGAGATCCGGACTCTCGACACAGTCTCCATCTGGCTTCTACTTTCGGTTTGCTACCGAAACCGCGCTGCGAAAATAAGTGTAGTCTGTGTTTGTTTTCTGTTCGTGTCTGGTTTAAGATTCACTATGGGACAGACTGTCACAACCCCCCTTAGCCTTACTTTACAGCACTGGAAGGATGTTCAGGTTACAGCCAGCAATCTCTCGGTAGAAGTCCGAAAGAGAAAATGGATGACTTTCTGTTCGTCAGAATGGCCCACCTTCAATTGGATGGCCGCGGGAAGGAACCTTTAACTTGGCTATTGTTTTGCAGGTTAAGGCCAAAGTAATGGACCCGGGACCACAGGGACACCCGGACCAGGTCCTCTATATTGTTACTTGGGAGGCTCTTGTTTTAGACCCTCCCCCTCTGGATTAAGCCCTTTTTATCTACCCCAAACCTCAAAACCCCTACCCTCTTGACCATTCCGTCTGCCCCTCAGCTCCCTCCCCCACTCCTTCCTTCCCCAACTCCCCATCCCCCTCCACACACCTCACTTTACCCGGCCCTTGTTCCCTTAGAAAGTAGGAAACAAACTTCAGAGAAGGACAAGCCAACTACCCCAAAGGTTCTGCCCCCGGGGGAAGGCGTCCTGCTGAACCTATTGACCGAGGAACCTCCGCCCTATCAAGGGCCCGCTCCTCAACCTCAGGGAGCGGCAGTTGCCGCTCCTCAACCACCAGCCGACCCCGCACCATCCCCGGTAGCCGGCCGGCTCCGGGGGCGCCGAGAGCAGGCCGCAGACTCTGCCACCACCTCTCAAGCGTTCCCCTTGCGTGCAGGGTTGGGTGGTCAGCTACAATACTGGCCCTTCTCAGCCTCCGCCTTGTATAACTGGAAAAATAATAACCCTCCCTTTAGCAAGGATCCCTCAAAATTAACCTCTTTAATTGAATCTATCTTGGTAACTCATCAACCCACTTGGGATGATTGCCAGCAGCTGTTACAGGTACTACTGACCACTGAGGAGAAACAACGCGTTTTCCTCGAAGCAAGGAAAAACGTCCCCGGAGAAAACGGGCGCCCCACTCAACTGCCCAATGAGATAAACGCTGCTTTTCCCTTGGAACAGCCAAACTGGGACTTCAACACACCCGAAGGTAGGAACCACCTACGCCTTTATCGCCAGTTGCTGTTAGCGGGTCTCCATGTGGCCGCTAGGCGACCCACCAATCTGGCTCAGGTTAAGCAGATAGTTCAGAAAGGAGAAGAATCGCCCTCGGCTTTCCTTGAACGTCTTAAGGAGGCTACCGCATTTACACTCCTTATGACCCTGAGGATCCGGGACAGGCTACGAATGTCGCCATGTCTTTCATTTGGCAATCAGCTCCAGATATCAGAAAAAAGTTAGAAAGATAGGAAAATCTTCAGACGTTGTCCCTTCAAGATTTACTCAAGGAAGCCGAACGCATTTACAATAAACGAGAGACTCCAGAAGAAAGGGAGGAAAGACTTAGAAAGGAAGCAGAAGAAAGGGAGAGTGCACGTGACCGTAAAAGAACTAAGGAAATGAGTAGGTTACTGGCCACCATAGTGACAGGGCAGAGACAGAATAGACAAGAGGGAGACAGACGGGGTACCCAAGTGGAAAAGGACCAATGTGCCTACTGTAAAGAAAAGGGGCATTGGGTGAGAGACTGCCCAAAGAGACCCAAGGGACCTAGAAGACCAAGGCCCCAGACATCCCTGCTAACCCTAGACGACTAGGGGGGTCCAGGCCAGGAGCCCCCCCCCTGAGCCTAGGATAACTCTGGAAGTTGGGGGGCAGCCCGTCACCATCCTGGTTGACACGGGGGCCCAACACTCGGTGCTGACCACAACCCCCGGACCCCTGAGTGACCGATCGGCCTGGGTCCAAGGAGCCACTGGAGGGAGGCGGTACCGATGGACCACCGACCATAAGGTGCAGCTGGCTACTGGTAAGGTGACGCATACCTTCTTGCATGTTCCCGACTGCCCCTATCCCCTACTGGGAAGAGACTTGCTTACTAAATTGAGGGCACAAATTCATTTCGAAGAAACAGGGGCACACATTACTGGGCCCAAGGGACAGCCATTGCACGTACTGACTCTTGGGATAGAGGACGAGTACAGGTTGTACGAACAAGAAAAGAGCAAAGAGGACCTGTATATACACCCCTGGGTGCAAAGATTCCCACAAGCTTGGGCAGAGACGGGAGGTATGGGCTTGGCCGTCCACCAGGCCCCTTTAGTGATCCTACTAAAAGCCACTGCCTCGCCTATATCCATAAAGCAATACCCGTTGTCTAGGAAGCCCGCCGGGGAATCCGCCCTCACATAAAGAGACTGTTAGACCAAGGAATACTAACCCCCTGCCAGTCTCCTTGGAATACCCCGCTTCTCCCAGTCAAAAAGCCGGGAACTCAAGACTATAGACCAGTACAGGACTTGAGAGAAGTCAATAAGCGGGTTGAGGACATCCACCCCACGGTCCCTAATCCATACAACCTACTGAGTGGACTGCCCCCTACTCACGTCTGGTACACCGTCCTGGATTTGAAGGACGCGTTTTTCTGTTTGCAGATCCACCCCAGCAGTCAACTTATTTTTGCCTTCGAATGGAAAGATCCAGAATTGGGAATATCAGGACAATTGACTTGGACTAGGCTACCCCAGGGATTTAAAAACAGTCCTACACTGTTTGATGAGGCGTTACACCGGGACCTAGCCGACTTTAGAATCCAACACCCAACCTTAATATTGCTCCAGTATGTAGATGATCTTCTATTGGCAGCCCAGACAGAGGAGGACTGTAAATCAGGAACTGAAGCCCTCTTGCAGGCCCTGGGCACCCTAGGATACAGGGCCTCCACGAAAAAGGCGCAAATTTGCCAAAAGCAAGTCACGTACTTAGGATATCAGATCAAGGATGGGCAGAGATGGCTGACAGAGTCTCGCAAACGGGCAATTATGGATATTTCCCCCCCCCCCCCAGAGCCCAAAACAACTACGGGAATTTCTGGGTACAGCTGGATTCTGCCGTCTATGGATCCCCGGCTTCGCGGAAATGGCCGCCCCTCTGTACCCGCTGACGAAACCAGGGACGCTGTTCGCCTGGGGAGAGACCCAGCAAAAGGCCTTCCAAGACATCAAGGAGGCCCTTTTACACTCCCCGGCTTTAGGATTGCCAGATCTAACCAAACCTTTTGAGCTATTTGTAGATGAAAGACAAGGGTACGCAAAAGGGGTCCTGACCCAAAAGCTGGGACCCTGGAGACGCCCTGTGGCTTATCTCTCCAAAAAGCTGGATCCGGTTGCTTCCAGATGGCCCCCATGCCTGCGGATGGTAGCGGCGATCGGTTCTGGTGAAAGACTCGGGTAAGCTCACCCTGGGACAGCCGCTTATTATTCTGGCCCCACATGCCGTAGAGGCCCTGGTCAAACAACCACCAGACCGCTGGCTTTCTAACGCCCGCATGACACACTACCAAGCCATGCTCCTAGATAAGGACAGAATACAGTTTGGGCCTATAGTGACTTTATTTATTTATTTTTTTTTCAGAAATAGTATTTCTTTATTCAAGGTACTTTAGTATATGTATACTTAACAAAGAGCAAAGACATTTCTTATACAACTAGCTGGGTACCAGTGGCTCACACCTGTAATACTAGCTATTCAGGAGGCTGAGATCTGAGGATTGTGGTTCAAAGCCAGCCTGGGCAGGAAAGTCCCTGAGACTCTTATATCCAATTAAGCACCAGAAAACTGGAAGTGGCACTGTGGCTCAAGTGGTAGAGAACTTGCCTTGAGCTGAAGTTCTTAGGGACAGTGCCCAGGCACAGAGGTCAAGCTCCATGACTGACAAAAAACAAAAATAAAAGCCAGGCACTGGTGGCTCACGCCTGTAATCCTAGCTATTCAGGAGGCTGAGATCTGAGGATCACGGTTCAAAGCCAGCCCGGACAGGAAAGTTCATAAGACTCTTATTTCCAACAAACCACTAGAAAAGCGGAAGTGGCACTGTGGCTCAAGCAGTAGAGCGCTCTCCTTGGGCTGAAGAGTGCAAGGACAGCGCCCAAGCCCAGAGTTCAAGCCCCATGGCCGACCCAAAAAAAATGACATTAATAAAATATTGTATTGAATCTATATTTGAATTTTTAATGGTTCCAATATTTTTTTATGGCCAAAGAAAATCTCAGATCATGCATTTTGTTTCTTATATCTCCTCAGTGTGCTTTTTTTTGTACAGCATAGTTTCTCAGTCTTTGTATTTAATTACACTGACTTTTGAAAAATAAGTCAGATTTCTTTTTTTTCTTTTTTTTTTTTTTGTCGGTCCTAAAGTTTGAACTGACAGCCTGGGAAATGTCCCTGAGCCTCTTTGTGTTCAAGACTAGTACTTGATGGGCCTATAGTGACTTTAAATCCAGCCACTCTGCTACCGCAACCCGGGGAGGCGGAACCTCATGACTGCTTGCAGATCCTGGCCGAAGTACATGGAACTAGACCCGACTTGACCGACCAGCCTCTCCGAGATGCCGATTTCACCTGGTACACGGATGGGAGCAGCTTCTTGGACAATGGGGAGCGAAAGGCCGGAGCCGCTGTTACCACCGAGACTGAGATAGTTTGGGCCAAGGAACTTCCGCCTGGGACATCGGCACAGCGAGCCGAGCTGATCGCCCTGACCCACGCACTCAAGATGGCAAAAGGGAAAAAACTCAATGTTTACACGGATAGCCGCTAAGCCTTCGCCACTGCTCATGTACATGGAGAGATCTATCGCAGGCGGGGCTTACTGACCTCAGAGGGCAAGGAAGTCAAAAATAAGCCTGAAATCTTGGCCCTACTCGAGGCCCTATTCTTGCCCCAAAAACTGAGCATTATGCATTGTCCGGGGCACCAAAAAGGACAGACCCCGGAAGCAAAGGGCAATCGACTGGCTGATGAGGCGGCCCGAGAAGCAGCGCTAAAAGGGACTCTAAAAACCCCGGTCCTTCCAGTAGCGGCTAAGCCCCAGACAAAAAGACTCAGTCCGCTCCCATACAGTCCAGAGGACATGGACGATCTAAAGAAAATGGGGGCCACCTTTGACCCTGAAAAAGGGATTTGGACCCATGATGGGAAAACAGTTTGGCCAAGGAAATGGACTCATCAGATGATAGACAGCCTCCATAAACTAACCCACCTCAGCAACAGAAAAATGAAGACCCTCCTTGACCGAGAAGAGGGACTGAGGTATCTCCTGGGAAAAGAGGATAGTCTGCAATTGGTGACGGATCAGTGCACAATATGCGCACGCGTCAACGCCGGGAAAACCAGAATAGGACCAGGAGTGCGGATGCGGGGACAGCGGCCAGGGACCCACTGGGAGATCGACTTCACAGAAATAAAACCTGGACAGTATGGATACAAGTATCTCCTAGTGTTCGTGGACACCTTTTCAGGCTGGGTAGAAGCCTTTCCTACCAAGCAAGAAACCTCAAGAGTGGTAACAAAGAAACTGATGGAAGAAATTTTTCCCCCGGTATGGTATGCCACAGTTGTTAGGGACTGACAATGGGCCCGCGTTCGTCTCCCAGGTGAGTCAGCTGGTGGCCAAACTGCTGGGGATTGATTGGAAATTACATTGTGCCTACAGACCCCAGAGTTCAGGACAGGTAGAGAGAATGAATAGAACAATTAAGGAGACTTTAACTAAATTAACGCTTGCAACTGGCATGAAGGATTGGGTGTTCCTCCTCCCCCTAGCCCTTTATCGAGCCCGAAACACCCCAGGCCCTCATGGCCTTACCCCTTTTGAAATTCTGTACGGGGCTCCCCCACCTGCTGTTAACTTCTTTGACCCAAACATCTCTAACTTTGCTAATAGCCCCTCTTTGCAAGCTCACTTGCAGGCACTTCAGATTGTCCAGAGGGAAGTCTGGAAGCCCCTTGCGGCAATATATCAAGATCACCAGAGCCACCCCGTCTCGCCTCATCATTTCCAGATAGGGGATTCTGTGTGGGTCTGCCGCCACCAGACAAAGAATCTGGAACCCCGGTGGAAAGGCCCGTACATCGTCCTCCTCACTACTCCTAGGGCTGTGAAGGTAGACGGGATCACCGCCTGGATCCACGAGTCCCACGTCAAGGCTGCCCGAACCCCGGAGGAAGCCTCAGAAACCCCAACCTGGAGACTACAGCGAACCCAAAATCCTCTAAAGATAAGGCTTACCCGAGAACAATGACACTTTTAACCCTTCTAATGATACTTATGTCAGCCCTACCTTTTTCAGTTTATGCCGGATTCGGGGGCCCGGTAGATAGACAGGAACTGCTTAAAGCCCTGTTCGGCCCCCCATGTGAGTGCCGGGGGGGGCGGGTCAAGGCTATTCCTGAACAATATACCAATACAATTGACTGTGGCACTAACACTGCGTACCTTTCCATGCCACCCAGTAACTTAGGAGGGTACCAGAAACAGACGTGGGTATGCGTCGACAAGCCACGCATTATACCGGCCACCAATGGAATCCCAGGAAGTTGCCCGGCCTCATGTAATTATGCTGACCAGATGCACTCTTCCTGTTATTCCACTGTTCAGGAGTGCACCGGTGCCAGCAGCAAAAGGTATTTTACGGCCATACTGCAGAAAACCAAATCAGAGACTCTGGGGGGGGAATGGTCCAATGTTCCTCAAGTCATGGGCAGCACCAACAAATATTCCCAAGCCTCGTGCTCGGGCAAAGTAGGACAAGACTCCTGTTGGCCTACCCGGGCCCCTATCCACGTCTCCGATGGGGCGGGGCCTACCGACATAATTAGAGAGACTGAAGTACGGGACATGATAGAGGAATTAGAGAACAGGCTTTACCCTAAGATTGATTACCACCCCTTAGCCCTCCCTAAGCCCAGGGGAACAGATTTAGATGCCCTCACCTTAGACATCCTGGAAACCACCCTCAGTATTCTGAACAGTACCAGCCCAGGATTGGCAATTGACTGCTGGCTATGTATGCCCTTAGGAGCACCCATGCCCCTGGCCATTCCCTCCGACAACCCAAATATCACGAACAGTAATTCTACCTGCAGCCCAAGCCTACCCTTTAAGACACAACCTGTTGGTAATTTTACTGCTTGTATATATGGTAACTTTCAAAATAATAGCTTGGATATAGATATAGGCCTGGCTACCTTTGGAAACTGCATTTACATGACTAACTATTCCTCCCCCACAAGCTCCCTTTGCCCTCCAAAAGGGAAAATATTCATATGTGGAGGAAACCTGGCCTTCACCATGCTTCCTGCTAACTGGACCGGATTATGTATGATTGCCTTGTTACTCCCAGACATAGATATCGTTCCCGGGGATGAGCCGCTGCCCACCCCTAGCCTAGAAATGATAGGAGGGAGGAGAAAAAGGGCAGTTCAACTTATTCCCCTGTTGGTAGGATTAGGTGTTACCGCGGCCATGGGCACAGGGACTGCGGGCCTAGGGGTAGCTGTACACTCTTATGCAAAACTGTCTAATCAATTGATAAATGATGTTCAGACACTCTCCAGTACCATAAACGATCTTCAGGACCAAATCGATTCCTTGGCGGAAGTAGTTTTACAAAACAGGAGGGGATTGGATCTGCTAACCGCAGAACAAGGAGGGATCTGCTTAGCCTTGCAGGAACGGTGTTGCTTTTATGCCAACAAATCGGGGATTGTTAGGGACAAAATCAAAAGACTCCAGGAGGACCTGATTAAGCGAAGGCGGGAATTATTTGACAGCCCGTTGTGGACCTGGTTAAATGGCCTCCTTCCCTATCTTTTACCTTTACTAGGCCCTCTGCTTGTTATCCTAATCCTCGCGACTATTGTAAACCGATTGTCCCTATATTGTAAACGGATTGGTGCAATTTATCAAGGACAGAGTATCAGTGGTACAGGCCCTGGTACTGACCCAACAGTACCACCAACTTAGAACAACAGAGGAAACCCTGATTGAATGAAGGATTTCATTCAAGCAGAAGAAAATGGGGGAATGAAAGGCCCCCAGTTTGTGCTTGGCCACTAGGTACCCCAGAAAACTGCTGACCATCCCCTGCGAGCTTGTGTATGAGAAAACCATGGGTGAAAAAGTACCGAAGAGGGCGAGGCAGGACGGACGTTGCGGTTAACTGTTAACCGGAGATAGGGAACAGAGAGTCTCTGAGCTAACAACTGAAGGGCAAGTACAGACACCTCAGCTAACTGCCTGTGGAAAGTCCCACCGCCAACCCCGAGTGGACTCCGCCTGACCCCATCACCTGACTTAAACTCACCAATCCCTACCCAAAGCATGATTTGAAATTAGCCAAACCCCACCCTATAACCATGCATCTCGCTTCTGTAACCTTGCTTCCAGCTGCCCAGAAAGTCTCCCGATAGACTTTGTCGCCCCGGGTACCCGTGTGTCCGAACAGGTTCCCAGCCACCGACCCGAACCTTGTGGATCTCGAGGTCGCGTGCACCTGGGAGCCTGGGCATGCCCGAATAAACCTCTTGCTGTTTGCATCCGTACAAGTGGTCTCGTTCCTTGGGAGAGGGTCTCTCCAGATCGAAGGGCACCCCGAACACTGGGGGTCTTTCAGTAAAACAGCGAGTAGGGGAAGCCACTCACATCAAAAGAGCTAAGCGCCCCGTGCTGGTAGTTCACCCCTGTAATCCCAGCTACTCAGGAGACTGAAATCTGAGGATCAGGATCTCGGTTCAAAACCAGCCTGGCATGTTTCAAGTAATAGAATTTTTACCTAACAAATGCAAGGCCCTGAGTTCAGGCCTCAGTACCATAAATAAATAATAATAAATTCCTCTTGTTGTCTCCCCATCCCCCCCCCCAAAAAAAAAAAACAGCCCGGGCAGGAAAGTCCATGAAATTCTTTTTTCCAATTAACCAGCAAACGTTGAGTGACCCAAGTGGTAGAGTGATAGTCTTAAGCAGAAGTTTAAGAACCAGTGCCTAGTCCCTGAATTCTAGCTCCAGGACCAGCATCCCTCCCCCCAAAAAGGTAACAGGTGCCTGGTGCTGGTAGTTCACACCTATAATCCTAGCTACTCAGGAGGCTGAGATGTGAGGATCATGATTCAAAGCCAGCTTGGGCTTTGGGCAGGAAAATCAAAATCCATAAGATTTTTTTGTTTCTGTTGGTTGTGGGGCTTGAACTCAGGGCCTGGGTGCTGTTGCCCAGCTTTTTTGCTCAAGGCTAGTACTCTACCACTTTGAGCCACAGCTCCACTTCTGGTTTTCTGGAGATAAGAGTCTCACAGACTTTCCTAGCTGGGCTGGCTTTGAACCTCGATCCTCAGATCTCAGCCTCCTGAGTAGCTAAGATTATTGATCTGAGCCACTGACACCAGAAGTGGAGCTGTGGCTCAAAGTGGTAGAGCACTAGCCTTATGTGAAAAAGCTAAGGGACAACACCCAGGCCCCGAGTTCAAATTCCAGTACCAACACACTTAGGGCTATGTACAGGGCTGGGGGAGGAAGCTCAGTAATAGAGCACTTGCCTACCATGCTATAGAACCTGGGTTTACTCCCAGCACCGCTGAAAGAAAATATATGTGGATATAGTATGTGTACCAACATTACAGGAAGTGGGCTAGAAGGCAACCAGTTCCTGTGTGGATGGGCAAGAAGAACCTGAGCTTTATCTTTGTTAGTTGAATCAGTTTCAGTAGTGATGAGAGACTCTTAATCTGCATAACCTTGGTCAACCTCTTAGCTACCCTGTGTTTTCTTGTCTCCATCTGCAAAATGGGTTCCTAATAGTATCAGATAGCTGTGACTGTTGTGTGTGTTTGACGCCATAGTAAACACATAAATAATTAGCCATTGTTATGATTATTTATATTGTTATATACACCCTGCTCTTTTGAAGCAGGATATTTGGTTTGTTCACTGTTGCATCCTTAGATCCTAGAGCAGTGCCTCAGACATTTTAGGTGGTTAGAAGCAATTGGTTGGATGAATGCATGAATGAGGAGCTGTGCCCTCCCCCCGACAGGAGTCATCCCCTCCCTCACATTGGCCCAGGTCTCCTGTCCACACCACTGCTTCTGCCCCTGCTCTTCTCCAGAAATTGTAAACTGCTTCCCCTTGCTGCTGTCTCAGCAATGCAGATCCCCGACTCTGCAGTTGAGTGGAGGCAGGGATGTCTGCCACTGCAGCCTTGGCGGGACCTCAAGAAAACCTAGTGCGTCCCCAGGAGCTCAGAAGCAAAGGCTTTTACTTCACCTCCAAAGGCCAGCACAATTTGGGGACAAGGATGGCTCTAGGACTGTGTTAGCACCAACAAAGGTTTTTATTAAATTGAAGCTTTTGGCCAGGTATAGTAGTGCACACCTGTAATCCCACCACTCCAGTGGCGGAAGTAGTAGGACAAAGATCTCAAGAGCAGCCAGGTTTCATAATGAGACACTGTTTCAAAAGAGAGAGAGAGAGAGGAGGAGAAGAAAGCTGGGCACAGGTGGCTCATGGCTGTAATCCTAGCTACTCAGGAGGCTGAGATCTGAGCATTGCAGTTCAAAGCCAGCCTAGGCAAGAAAGTCTGTGAGACTCTCATCTCCAATTAACTACCAAAAAAATGGAAATGAAGCTGTGGCTCAAGTGGTAGAGTACTACTTTTAAAGCAAAAGAGCTCAGAAATAGTTATCAGGCCCTGAGTTCAAGCTCCAGGACCAGCACAAATTATAACACACACACACACACACACACACACAAAGACGCCTCAGGACTGGGAATGTGGCTCAGTGATACAGTGCTTGACTAGCATGCATGATTCCTTAGTACCACAAACAGAAAAAAAAAACCAAAAAAAAGCCAGAAGTGTTCCTGTGGCTCAAGTGGTAGAGCACTAGCCTTGAGCAGAGAGGCTCAGGGACAGTGCCCAGGCCTTGAGTTCAAGCCCCAGGAATGGGAGCATCTGCCTAGCATGCATGAGACTTGGTCTTCAATCCACAATGCCAATTATATATTTTGTAATTAATTAATTTTTTTGCTAGTCCTTGGTCTTGAACTTGGCCTGAGCACTATCCCTGCTCAAAGCTAATGCTCTACTACTTAAGCCACAGCTCCACTTCTGGCTTTTTCTGTGATTAATTGGAGATAAGAGACTCAAGGACTTTCCTGCTAGACTGGCTTCAAACCTTCAGTACCAGCACAAAAAGTTAAAAAATACAATGCTAGGTGCCAGTGGCTCAGCTGTATAACTACTTGGGAGAATCAAAATTCAAATCCAGCCCAGTCAAGAAAGTTCATAAGACTCTTAGCTCCAAATCACAAAAAAAAAAAACAAAAAACAAAAAACAAAAAACAAAAAAAACCTGTAAGGGGAGGTATGGCTCAAGTGATAGAGCACAGGTGAAAAAACTAAGCAAGCTGGGTACAGTGGCTCACACCTGTAATCCTAGCTATTCAGGAGGATAATATCTGAGGATTACAGTTTGAAATCAGCCTGAGCAGGAAAACCCATGAGACTCTTCTCTCCAATTAACCACCCAAAAGCCAGAAGTGGAGCTGTGTTTCAAGTAGTAAAGTACTAGCCTTGAGCAAAAAAGCTCAAGCCCCAGTACTAACACATCAAGAAACAACAAAGAGGGAAAAAAAACCACACAGAACAGTGAAGTTCTTAGAAAATAACAAATGTTTGGAAACTGGAACCCTTGTGCAATGTTGGTGAGGATATAAAATGGTTCAGTATGGAAAACAGTAGGGAAGTTCCCAAAATAATTAAAAATACACATACCATATGAGCTAGAAATTTCATTTCTGGGGGGGGGGGGGTATGCCCAAAAGAATTGAAAGCAGGGACTCAAAGAGATATTTGGGCCTCCATGTTCACTGCAGTATTTCTCAGAGTAGCCAAGCAGTGGAAACAGCCCCCTCACTGACAGATGAATGTTGAAGAGAATGTGCCATACACAATAGGACATTATTCCACCTTAAAAAGAAGGCAATTCTGACATATGCCACCACATGGGTGAACCTTGAGGACATTCTACTAAGTCAAATAAGCCAGGCACAACAGAACAAATACTGTATGATTCCACTTAAATGAGGTCACATTCATAGAAACAGAAAAGACAACAGTGATTGTCAGAGACTTGGGGAGAGGGCAGAATGTTTAATGCTTAGAGAGTTTCCGTTTTGCAAGATAAAAATTACAAGCAAGGATAGTGGCAGCTGCCCAACCATCGAGATGCACTTAGTATGGTTGAATTGTACATTAAGAATGAGTAATATAGTCAACGAATTGTATTTTGTATATCTTACCACAGTGAAAAGAAGAAAGAGACACTGTGTCTTTTCTTGTCAGTCATTTTCATTTCCTTTCTGTGAATTGCCTGTTTATACCCTTTGTACATTTCCTCTTGGTTTCTAGGTCATTTTCTTACTGATTGACAGAAATATTTTTGTATTAGTCCTCTGCTTCTGTAGGAAGCACAAACACTTCTTCCATTTTCCTTAGGTTTTGTTGTGGTATTTAGTTGTTTAGCTAGGTATGAGGTAGCAATCTGACTTAAGCTTTACTAAAAATACTTATTATGGAAAACTTCAAATATACCCAAAAGAATAAAAATACTGTCACAATGGGCGCTTAACACAGCCTCTCCCAGCTTCAACAACGATCAATTTGAACAATATATCCATATCTCTTCCCAACCTCAGATTATTCTGAAGCAGATACCAAGACCCCAAACATCTTATCATTTCATAATTACTATCCCAGCACCAGAAAAAAGTATTATTCAAATTACCCTTATTTTCATAGTTTTGGTGTTGTTTATAGGTGTGTACCACTAAATCAAGCCTTCCCTCCCTCCCTCCTCCTTCCCCAAGTTCTGGGGCTAGAACTCAAAGCCTGGAAGCTATCCTGAGCCTCTTTGTGCTCAAGGCTAGTGCTCCACCACTTGAGCCACAGTGCCACTCTGGACTTTTTCTGAGATAAGTGTCTCACAGAGCCAGGCACTGGTGGCTCACCCCTGTAATCCTAGCTACTCAGAAGGCTGAGATCTGAGGACTGTGGTTTGAAGTCAGCCTGGGTAGCAAAGTCTGTGAGAATTTTATCTCCAATTAACCATCTAAAAGCCAGAAGCTGGGTGTTAGCTCAATTGGTAAAGCACTAGCTTTGAGCAGATAGCACTCAAGGCCTGGGTTCAAACTCCTGCCCCATGTATCTGTACCCTCCCCTCCCCCCGAAAAAAATCATATGTCTTTGTAGAATTTAGTTGTCTGTTGTCTTCAAATGAAGTTAGCTGTCATCATTTTTCAGGATGTTGGTACTTATTGATAATTTTGGCTTAGATCTGTTCATTTATTCTGGGCAAGCTTCATTTTTTTTTTTTTTAGGCAGATGGTTCTACAGTTGTCCCTACCATTTATAGCACAATCAATCTTCCCTGCCCACTTATTTGCAATGTGTCTTTACCATTTGCCAAATGTCTCTGAGTATTATAATTTATTTCTATACTTTATGATCTATTCCATGAATCTATCACATTCTTCCCCCCGAATAATCTTAACCGAAAGATGTGCTCAGTGTTAGAGCACATATTTAGCATGCCTGAGGCCCTGGGTTCAATCCCCGTTATGGAAAAAGAGAAATTTAGACTATGGATATAAACTCAAAATGACTGGTTCCACGTGCCCCCTTCCCCCCTGCCTCCCCCCACTTCCCCTGGCATTCCAATCCACCAAGAGCCTTGTGCATGTTAGGTAAGTACCATTGAGCTACATCTTTAGTCTCAGAAAGGCTCATTTAACTTCTGCTTGTGAGGAAATGTTGTTATGTTGAACATGACTTCAGTGCAGAGGCAAAGTCCTCACCTGTAAGGGCTTCGTGGCTAGTTTTATGGACACAGCATGGGACTATACAGGGATTCCTTAGCCTCCCATGACCTGTGCTGAGGGCATAAATATAAATAAATAAAACCAGGAGGAAGTGGCGCTGTAGCTCAAATGGTAGAGCGTTAGCCTTGGGCTGAAGAGCTGAGGGACAGAGCTCAGGCCTAGAGTTCAAGCCCCATGACTGACAAAAAAAATAAAAATAAAACCAGGAAAGTAGCTGGGCACTGATGACTCATGCTTGTAATCCTAGCTACTCAGGAGGCTGAGATCTGGAGGACTATAGTAGTTTAAAAGCAATAAGGACAGAAAAATCCATGAGATTCCATCTCCAATTAACCAGCAAAATGACAGATTGGCAATAAGGCTCACATGGTAGAACGGCCAGCCCTGAGGAAAAAAGCCAAGCAACAGTATGAGGTCCTGAATTCAAGCCCCAGAACTGGCAAAAGATAATAAGAAAGAAAAATAGCTAGAAAAGCATTCCTGAATTAACTTCAGTCAGGGTCCAATGCCTCTGGTATCCATTTGGCTATTTGCCCAAGAAGACTTAGAAATAAGTTACTCTTTGCCCCTGAGTAAATAAGGCAGGCAGGGCTGAGCTCTGAGGACTCAAAGCAGATACTTATTTTATCAAAGATAAACAGAACTGGACACAAGTTAAGTGGCAGAAATGGATTTTTAAGCAATAACTAATACTCTGTGATAAAAGAGTAAAGCTTGGATTTGTACAGAAGTACTTTTTTTTTTCTTGTCGGTCATGGGTTTTGAACTCTGGGCCTGGGTTCTGTCCCTCAGCTCTTCAGCTCAAGGCGAGCACTCTGCCACTTGAGCCACAGTGCCACTTCTGGTTTTCTGGTGGTTCATTGGAGATAAGAGTCTCAAAGCCAGGTGCCGGTGGCCCATGCCTGTAATCCTAGCTACTCAGGAGGCTGAGATCTGAGGATCATGATTCAAAGTTAGCCCGGGCAGGAAACTCCATGAGACTCTTATGACCGACAAAAAAAAAAAAAAAAGAATCTCACAGACTTTCCTGCCCAAGCTAGCTTTGAACCACAATCCTCTGATCTCAGACTCCTAGTGTAGCTAGGATTATAGGTGTCAGCCACCAGTGCCTGGCCTATACAGGGTACTTTAAAGGGAGCAAAGTAGGGAAGGAGGCAGGCAGGGGCTCAGCTATTAGTGAAGACTCTAACTTTCCATGTGGATTGGGAGATATTCCCTGTCCTTCCTGGAAATAACATTTTTAAGGGAATGGCTTTCAGGTCCTTGTAAAAGTTGTAGATTTAAATATCATAGATATTTCAAAGGGACTGAGCAAAGAGCAAGGATTTACAATTGCAAGCCCTTTAAGCTTTAAAGAAAACTATGGCAGAGGCTGATGGTCAGGTATTGATTCAAAGCAACAGTGAATTCTTTGCCAGCCTTGAGTTTTCTCAGCAAGACACTTCAAGGAGGGCTCAGGTCATGCTAGAGACATGGCCTTGGGCTATTAGAAACAGTGATATAACTTTTAGTTAGGTGTTGTTGTTTGGATAGTACTGGAGTTTGATTCGTGGCTGTTCTCTGTAAGGCTGGTGCCTCCAGCTCTTTTTTCACACTACTACTACTACTACTACTTATTATTATTTTTTTTTTTCCAGTCCTTGGGCTTGAACTCAGAGCCTCGGCACTGTCCCTGAGCTTCTTTTGCTCAAGGCTAGTACTCTTCCTACAGCACCACATATGGCCTTTTCTGTTAATGTGGTACTGAGGAATCAAACCCAGAGCTTTATGCATGCTAGGCAAGCACTCTACCACTAAACCACATTCCCAGCCCCTGAAAATACCCTTTTTTTTTTTTTTTTGCAACATAGTATCAGTTCTACTTTAGGGTATTTAAAGTCTGACACAGCTTTCAGTTGGATGGTTTACATGGTATCTTTCTTACTGAGTTCACTTGCTTTTCTTTTTCCTATTAAAAAGATCATTCCAGGGGTTAGAGAGAGGGTCAGTAGGGTACCTGCCAATGAGCATGAATCTTCAGATACCTGGTTTGAGTCCCCGATGCTTACAAAAAATTTTAAAATCCAGAAAAAAAGATTATTCTTAAGTGAGTAAAGTGGTGCATGCCTGTAATCTCTGCACTTGGAAGGCAGAGGTAGGAAGCTGGAAAGTTTGAGACTAGTTTGTGCTACAGAGCAAACCCTGGCCTTTCAGTGGCCTGGCTTTTCAGATATCATTATCTATCCCACATCAGGGCCACTCTAGAAGGACAATGCCAGAACTGTAGCCAACTGACACCAACGACTGTGGTTCTCAGCATCAGTATCTTCTGGAAACTTGTTAGAAATGCAGATTTTGGGGCCCAGGCTAGAGCTAATAAACCAGAAGCAACTCTGTGTGTGTGTGTGTGTGTAGGTAGCAGTCTATTTGAACAGGCTCTCAGAGAGATCACATGCACGCAAAGTTTGAGAAACAGTAATGCACAATGCCAGGGTGGGGAGAAGCTTGGACCAAGGTGAAGGAGCCAACAATCGATGCTTCATGGATGTATGGAGCTAGAATTGGCAGGTTAGAAAAGGACTTGCCAAGAAAGACAAGGAAAAATATTTAAAACAAGTGCACTTTACCCTAAACATAGGAAGTGAAGGAGAGGAAAGAGGGTGGGGAGAGGCAGACATGGAATGACCAGATGCCCCAGTGGGTGAGGGTTTTGGGGAACCCACAAGATACTGTGTTCACGGGTGAAGAACCCCGGATCCACATCGCTGCTGGGAGTCCTCTCATCTTCGGTGTGGACGCAGCAGCCTCACCGCTGCTCTGGTTGGCAGCGCCAGGGCATGAACCCAGTTGGCTTAGGTCGTGGCTCTTTGACTAGATGCAATGTCAACAGTCCTCGTCAGCTAGGCTGGGCAGCAACCGGCCCCCGGCGTAAGAGCATCCTCGCTTCCTTCTAAGGATCTAGGTAGGTATCCAGGTCCCAGGGCATCCCACACCCCATGGCTTAGGCTGAGCCCGGCCTCCATTGAACTCAGATTCCCTCCACTCCCGTGCCCTAGCCCCTTGAGTCCGGGGTGAACTACAAAGCCCACAATCCCTGGGGGGTGTGTGAACACGCAGTGCCTTCTGGGTATGGTAGTTCATGATGCGGAGCGCCACCAGCAGTTCGGCGGCCCACTGGACTCCATATCCCAGCATGCGCGCGCGCGTGAGAGACAGAAGCGAGGGGAGAGGCCGGGAGGATGTGAATGGGGAGGGGGCACCCGCCCCCTTCCCCCACCCTTTCCTTCAGCCCGGCAGGGGTGGGGGGAGGGGTCCGGAGGGGTGGGGGGAGGGGCCGGGCTGAGGCGGCGGCCGTGGCGCTCGGAGAGGGCAGGGCCAGCAAGGGCGGGACTGGCCCGCGGCGGGCGGACTGGAGAGCCGCGGAGCTAACGGGTCCGGACGCGGGTGGCGGCGGTGGCGGCTTTCTGCACGGGCGGAGGCGGCAGCGAGGAGCGGCGAGCATGGCCCGCGCGGCGCCCAGCGCTGACTGAGGTGCGCGGGCGTGATGAGGGCGGGCGGGCGGGGTGAGGGGCGCCCCGGGCCCCATGCTGCCCCAAACCATCTTTGCGCGCGGGCAGCGAGCTCGGCCCAGCGGCCCAGACCAGCCTGCTCCAGCCGGGCAACTTCCCCGGGGTCTGGGCGCCGTGTGGGCGGGGGTCCTCTAGCCTTGGCCTCGATCCGGATCCCCGCCTTTTGCATCTGCACATCCAGCTGCCCCCAGCCTTCCCGGCGCTCCCGGTTCCGTGTCGCCCCCCCCCCCCCCCCCCCGGTCCCAGTCCTGGAAGAGCTCCCTGCCCCAGTCCCCGCTTCCAGTCCACTCCCTCGTTCGTATCTCCAGCCTCGGGGTTGCTCCAGCCCTAGCTCCACCTGGACCCCCCCCCCCCCCCCCCCCCGCCACACTCCTGCCGGCCACAGGCGATCCGCACCGTTGGCACCTCTACCCTCTTGCCCCTACCTGGCACTGCCCCCGAGCAACACTCTGTGGCCCAATTCTGTCTGATAAGACCTGGCAGCTTGACCTCCTTATTACTTTGAAGTAACTGAGGCATGGTGCAAACCAGAAACTCGACCAAGACTCCAGATCCCGAGGACGCTGGCGTGGGCTCTTTCCCTCGTCTCTTCTGCCCCTTCCTTGCTGTGGAACGTAGGATTCATTTCCTCCTTCCCGTCATTTGCCGGCGACTGGACCAAACTTCCCAGCCTCCTGGGCTGAGCTCACTTTAGTCTCCTTTAGCTCCTCCACCACTTCTGATGCTTCCTCTTCTTTAGAAAAACCCTCCTCCTAGCGAGGAGGCATCCGTCCCCATTGCTGCTTGCTCAACTTAGCTTTTCCGTTTCCATCTCTGGCCAGCTGCATCCATCTCCCATCTTGCCTCTTGCTTTCCAGCTGCGCAAAGGACTGTAGAACAGAGGCTAAGGTGGTGCTGGAAGGTGGGGGGGGGGGGGGGGATGGTGCTGGTGGCAGAAAGGGAGGTGCTGTGGCTCTTTCAGCCAAAGCCACTGGGGGAGGTGGGGAATCCGGGGCACCCATTGTGGAGCACCTAGGAAGTAGGACCCACACTTCTGCTTTCTCTTTGGGACAAAGAAAAAGAGCCTGGCCGCCCCTTTTGTAAAGTGATAGGCTTGTAAGTCCTTTGGGGATGAAATGGACCACCTAACTTTACGGAGATGGTGGCTTTAGCACACTCTGGGAGACCACACCCCAAGTCTCATCTAGCTTTTGTTGCTAACTCTGTGCCCCTTGTGGGGTTGGGATGTATGCTAGGTGCTCTGAGGAGGCTTTGTGGAGGAAGCCACAGTGTCTGTAGTTGGTGAATTCAAGAAGAGAGAGAGAGAGCACAGACTTGACTGCATAAATCAGCTTTTTGTTTTGTCATCTTCCTTCCGCAAGATTTTCCTTTGGGTTGTCCCTTTCTACTCCACCCCCTTCCCCCAATTTCTTAAGATAAAGGAGAAAAGTCAGGGAGGGAAACCGGTGAGCCATCAAGAAAAGAGGTGATGACCAAGGGTTTGGAGGGTGAGCAGACTTGATCTGAACCACATGGTTCCTTGCTTCGGCACCCCCCCCCCCCCCCCCCCCCCCCGCCCCCGCCCCCATTCCTCCTCCCCTGGCTGTGAGTAGGATGCTTTTTAACCTTGTAACTTGAGAATAGAGGAAAGGAGGCCAGGGGGCCAACTGTCTGTGAGCATGTTATGTCTGCATGTGCACACACCCGCCAGCTTGCCAGGGCCCGGCTGAGTGAGCGTGCTGAGAGTGCATTGTGAAGTGCAAGCCTGCCAGGGGCCTGGGGCGTGACCTGCAGTGTTCACTGTGAAGTGCTGTGGCATGCTCCCTGGCTCCTGGACCCCTGGACACTTTCTGAGCCCAAAGCCCTACACACAGCTAGTTTTGAAGACCACAAGAACTACTAGAAGTGTTTAGGGTGAAACAGACACCTGTATCCCAGAACTGGAGGCTAAGGCAGAAGATTGAGATGTTAAGGCCAGCCTGGGTCCATAGTGAGACTGCTTCAACCCTCCCTTCTTCACATACCACACCCACACACCCACACACACACACACACCCACACACACACACGCACGGGAACCACAATGAGTGGCCTTGAGCACTTCGCTCAAGTCCAGCCTCAAGGTGAGGGTCAGTAATTTCAGAGTCTGGCCACAGTGCTCTAGCATAGAGTCATATTCTCTAGTCCTTTGAGAAGTCTGAAAGTGTAACGGCAGGGTTGGGGGTGTGAGGAGGACAGCTGACGTTCTCTCTCTCTCTTTTTTTTGTGTTAATAAAGAAGCAACTTTATTGAGAAGGTTCCTACAGTGACGGGTCAGGGTGGCAGGACAGGCTTGGGAGCTGATGCTGCGACCCCGAGCGGTCCCCATTCTTTGGTTTTTAAAGGCAAAATCCATGAGGTCAAGCCTGGTCACTCACAGGTGACCAATGGGATTGTACTACACAAAAGGATTGTACTGTCATACCAGACCACACACAGGTGGAGTTTACTGTAAGCATGTGCGAAAAGGCAGGGTTCACCGCAAGCCCGTGGTGTTGCCAGTTGGAGCCAGATTACATGGAGCCAGATTACAACCTATCTGTTTTAAGGGTCAGTCTTTTAACTCAATAATCAAGGTGGGTTAGGTTGTTAAGGGGAGGGGAACCTAGAACCATTCTTTCCATTCCAGGAACTGGGCTGGTTGGAGCCAAGGTCTAGTTAACCTTGTTTGTATGAATGACATTAACTGACATTCTCTCTTTATGGGAGTAGGGTCTAGGGACAGGGGTAGCAAAGATTCCTCTGTCTTGTTCTATAACACATTCTGCACTTGATTTTGACCCAATTGGGCTGTAGGGATACTTTTTTTTTTTTTGGTCTTGGGGCTTGAACTCTGGGCCTGGGCACTGTCACTGAGCTCTTCAGCTCAAGGCTAGCATTCTATCACTTGAGCCAAGTGCCGCTTCCAGTTTTCTAGTGGTTTTCTAGTGGAGATAAGTCTCACGGACTTTCTTGCCTGGACTGGCTTTGAACCATGATCCTCACATTTCAGCCTCCTAAATAGCTAGGATTACAGGCATGAGCCACAGTACTCAGCTGTGGAGATGCTTTAGATGTGTCCTCATTGCTGAAGTACCCACATTTGCTCAGTCTTTGCTGAAATCTCTGTATTTACTCAGTCTTTGATAGATAGCTTGGTACATAGTAGGTGCTTGGTAAAGAAGCAAAGGATCTCAGCTGGGAATATGGTTTAGTGGTAGAGTGCTTGCCTAGCATGCACGAGGCCCTGGGTTTGATTCCTCAATACCACATAGACAGAAAAAGTCAGAAATGGTGCTGTGGCTCAAGTGGTAGAGTATTATCCTTAAGCAAAAGAAGCTCAGTAACAGTGTAGAGGATCTCATGATGAAAGGTTTAGAGTTCTTGAACAAGAGTCAGGGAAGAGAAATAGGCTCTCTTGGGGTTGATACTAGCAGGAGAGAGTTAGGTTAAAAAGATAAATTCTGGGGCTGGGAAGGTGGCTCAGTGGTAGAATGCTTGCCTTGCATGCACAAGGCCCTGGGTTCAATTCCTCAGCACCACATAAGCAGAAAAAAAAAAAAAAAGCCAGAAGTGGTGCTATGGCTCAAGTGGTAGTGGGCTAGCCTTGAGCTGAAGAGCTGAGGGACAGCGCCCAGGCCCAGAGTTCAGGCCCCACGACCGGACCCCCTCCCCCCCCAAAAAAGATAAATTCTGTTGAAATAGATTGTGTATATGTGCGTGTGCGTACAGGCATGTGTATGTGTTATGCATGTGTGTGTGCACGTGTGTGCACGTGTGTGTGCGTGCACTAACTAGCCCTGGGTCTTGAATTCAGGGCCTGAGCACTGTCCCTTAGCATTTTCTAACTAAGGATGGTGTTCTACCACTTGAGTCATAAATCCATTCCCAGCTTTTTGCTAGTTAATTGGAAATAGAGTCTCATGGACTTTCCTGTCCAGTCTAACTTTGAGCCATGATCTTCAGATCTCAGCTTCATTAATAGCTAGGATTACAGATGTGAGCTACTGATGCCTGGCTGAAATAGATTATTCACAACTATGAAAATAGGGGAGAAAACTTTAGGTTTTCTTTCTTTCTTTCCACCTTTCTTTCTTTCTTTCTTTTTTTGAGGGGGGAAGGTTTTACCAAGGCTTGAACTCAGGGCTGCACTTCCTGCCTTAGGACAAGGTTCTTCAAACTGGAGCAAGCCTTAACATCCCCTGGAGAGATGGTTAAAGCACTGATTGCTTGGGGCTGGGAAGGTGGCTCGGTGGTAGAGTGCTTGCCTCGCGTTCATGAGGCCCTAGGTTCGATTCTTCAGCACCACAAAAAGAGAAAAAGCCAGAAGCGGTGTGGTGGCTCAAGTAGTAGAGTTCTACCCTTGAGCTGAAGAGCTGAGGGACAGCGCCCAGGCCCAGAGTTCAAGCCCCACAACAGACCAAAAAAGAAAGCATTGATTGCTGAATGGAATTACAGGTTGTTTTCAGCCAGTCTGGGTTGAGCCTAGAATTTGCATCAACTCCTTGGTCTTTGTGTGTGTGTGTTTGTGCAAGTGTACAAGCATGTGCAGGCTTGAACTCTGGGCCTGGATTCTATCCCTCAGCTTTTTTACTCAAGGCTGATGTTCTACCACTTGAGCCATAGCTCTACTTCTGGCATTTTGCTGGCCAATTGGAACTAAGAGTCTCATAGATTTTTCTTGCCCAGGCTAGCTTTGAACCATGATGCTCAGATTTCAGCCTCCTGAGTAGCTAGGATCACAGATGTGAGCCACCAGTATCTGGCTGTCTTAGTTATTTTCAGGATGGGGTCTTGCTCTATGCCCAAGCAGGCTTTGCATATCCTCATACAACTGCACTCTCCACAGACGGAATAACAGGTGCTGCCAGTGCCCAGCCACTGATAAAGATGGAGTCTCTTGCACTTTATCTTTGTGCCTTGGCTCTGCTTGAACTGAGACTTCCCACCCTCAATAACTTCCTC